ATAAGATGAGCATTGACGATCTTATCAACATCTTCCAAGCTTCTAAAATAAACTTTTTATTCGTATTTGTCCCCATTTTAAACTCCCTCCTCCAACAGATGTAATGACACAAGACGAGTACAAGTTGACTCGTTCGAAATGAAGTTTATTTCAACCAGCGCAAAAAAAGTAAATTCCATATAATTTCTTTTCTAACACGACGCAGAGAAGTATATAATTAAGAATAAAAATACCAACCAAAGGAACAAATACATAAAGTGGATACAAGACAAGTGCTCGCATAGAGGGCATACCACATTAATATGTGATTATTAACACCCAACAATGTTTTAGTGAGAAGGTCGTGATTAAATATATAGGAGCGCGCATGCCGCAGAACACATTTGAGTGGTGGTGATTACAAAACGATGTAGTGTGCACTCCCTCATCAGACCGCCATCGTGTTAATGAAACCCGTTCAATCCGGTACTCAGAAATTTATCCTATCTAAGGATTTGGCACAAAGTATGTAACCCGGCAGGCGCGGATACAGGAGGGGAATCAAGGGGTCGAGGACCCCCTCTTTGGAAAAAGGTGGTCAAGAGTATCTTTTGACCCCCCCCCTTTTTTCTAGAGACCAACTTAAAGTTTACTGTGGATTTTTAACCAACACTGTAAGTAATTGAATATGATTCTTTCCTATCTTAAAATTAAGTTTATCATAATTTCAGCATTCAAACACATTACAGCGACATCAAAACGATAGTAGGGGTCTGAAATTTTGTGACATTTTTCAGAAATTTTACAAAAGCAAAAATACATTCTACTTTGAATTCTTATTGGCATGTTTAAAAAATAAAATGTTGACAAAAAATCAGAAATACAAATACATTTCTATTTGTATTTTTCTAAAATGGGATATCCTCGACCTAATTTAAAAATACAGTTCTAAGGTGGCAATATTTTTACATATTTTAAGAGTAATTAGCTATTTTAAGCAATGAAAATACTCACTCTGTATGCGAATTCCTTAAAAAAATTGCGGAGGGCTCCCCCTGCTCGCTCGCAAGATTCGCGCAGTGCTTCCCCTCCCCACATAACAGTATGAGTAGTGCTGGGAATACTGTGAAGCAATCTAAACAAAATCCAATAAATACAAATAGATCTCAAATATCAACTAAGTTTAATGTGGCCCTTTATTTAAAGAGTTGAATGCCCAGATTCACAACAGTACCTTTAATCCATTTACTTTTGTAAGATATTCTGGACAAAACTCACTTAGATAGAACGCAATGTTTTTAGATAGAAAAACAAGAATATCTCTTGCTTAGACAATGAATGAAAAGGTATGTTTATGAACATCTAATGATGCAACTATTCTAATGGAAGATCATTAGAAATATAATGACCTGAACAGCAAGTATATGATATGATATCCTGGAAGTGAAAATTGAAGATTTTTGACTCAATGGGCCTTATGCAAATAAGCATCTCTAATATGTTGAAACTCAATAAATATTAATCAATAAACTACTGTACCTAGCAAGGACAGGAAGCAGTTGACCAGCTTTCTGAAAATGTAAACAATTAGATCTTTAACTCTTAAATCAATCTTTTTGCCTCTTTTCCGTCTGTTAGTAATTTTTTCGTCTTTTATTGTCTCTTTTTTTTCTTTTTTTTCTTTTTTGTTTCTTTTTTGTTTCTTTTTTGTATCTTTTTGGTCTCCTTTTTTCTCTTTTTTGGTCCCCTTTTTGCCTCTTTGTGGTCCCCTTTTTGTCTCTTTTTTGGTCTCCTTTTTGTCTCTTTTTTGGTCCCCTTTTTGTCTCTTTTTTGGTCCCCTTTTTGCCTCTTTTTTGGTCTCCTTTTTGCCTCTTTTTGGTCCCCTTTTTGCCTCTTTTTTGGTCTCCTTTTTGTCTCTTTTTTGGTCCCCTTTTTGCCTCTTTTTTGGTCTCCTTTTTGCCTCTTTTTGGTCCCCTTTTTGGTCCCCTTTTTGTCTCTTTTTTCGTCTCCTTTTTGTCTTTATTTTGTCTCTTTTTTGGTCTCCTTTTTTCTCTTTTTTGGTCTCCTTTTTGTCTCTTTTTTGGTCCCCTTTTTGCCTCTTTTTGGTCCCCTTTTTGCCTCTTTTTTGGTCTCCTTTTTGTCTCTTCTTTGCCTCTTTTTTTGTCTCTTGTTCTTTTCTGCTTAGTCTCTTTTACAAATGTGTTTTTTCCGTGTCTTTTTCTCATTTCTTATTATTGTGTCTTTTAATTTATATTTTTTTTTCTGTGTTTTTTTTATTATTTATTTCTTGTCTTTTTCCTTGTTTTTTCGTCTTTTCACTGTCTTTATAGAGTTTTTTTTCCTTGTATTTTTCTGTTTCTTTTTCGTTTTTCCTAACCTGGCTCAAAATTGATGAATCTCTTATCTTGTACAGTAGACTTATCAGATTCCATGTAGTCCCACACCTTATTAAATCAGAACATTATATTTTTTTAATGCTTTGGAAAACTTTCAACAGCCTGATTTTCTGGGCAGGAATAAATTATTATGAGCTGGGGGAAATTAATGTAGAAAAAAAACCCCAAGAATTTCAGTCATTCCTGACATCTGGGGATAAACATTTTATCAAAAGGGGGACAGCTCTTTCAAAAAAACACATATCACAGCTTAAATGTTAAAAAAGTGATCAAATAGAAAGACAAGCACTACTTACTTGTAGTCTAGTACTTGTATAAGTTGACCACAGTTGAATAAAAGATCAGATATATCAGGAGACGATGAATTCCAAACCTTAACATTCAACATTTCAATATTGTTGAAAAAATTAATTTACAATCATATATGACAATTGTCCCATCCGAAGCGTTCAATTCATTGACAAACATAACGGATCTTTGATCTTTGAGATCAAGAAGATGTTTATCTCTACTCAATTGATCTGTGAGATCAAGAAAAGATGTTTATCTCTACTCAATTGATCTGTAAGATCAAGAAGAGATAATTTAGTGTTTACCTCAGTACTATTGATCTGTGAGAGAGCATTAACGATCTTATCAACATCTTCCAAGCTTCTAAAATAAACTTTTTTATTCTTATTTGTCCCCATTTTTCTCCCTCCTTTAGATGTAAATAGCACATCTAATGACACAAGACGAGTACAAGTTGACTCGTTCAACATGAAGTTTTTTTTAAAAAAAAAGGAAATTCCATATATTTCTTTTCTAACGCAAAGAAGTACATAATTAAGAATAAAAATACCAACCAAAGGAACAAATACATATAGAGGATACAACTTACTTACTTACTTTTACACATTTGAGTGGTGGTAATTACAAAACGATGTCGTGTGCACTCCCTCCCTCTTGCAGACATTTGGACAATAATTGGTAATTACTAAAGAGACTCAACCTTATTTACCATAAAAATAAAGATAATAAATAAATAAATTTGTTTTTATTTTGTTTTGTAACTTACTTGTCTGCTCCTTGAGTCTCGAATTTAACGGCAGCAATGTTAAACGCTTTTATTTGATCAAGAGAAAGTTTAGCTTTTCCCGCCATTTTGACCTGAAATAAAATTTGATTATCGAAACCGAAAATTCCTATACTTGATTTCTTAAAAGGGACTGAAGACTTAATTTTTAGCGACCCTTCATTTTTAAGATTCAAAACAGTACCCTTAATNTTGAAAGTGGATCATCTTCGATTTTGGTTTATTTATAAAAAATACTTGAGGATTTACGATATATACTATACAGCTAAAACCGATGGAGTAAATTGTCAAAACTGAGCTGAAAACTTTAGAATGAGATATCCTTAATCTCGATCGCTTAATCTGATTATCAAATGTACACACTTTTGATTTTCTTCTTAATCCTCTGTTTGGATATTTCTACTGTATAAAAGTTACGTTTGATAACAATTACAGATACAATGCTATATCGATTGGACTAATATATTACCAAAATTAGGTCTAACCAAAACTGGACATTTTTCTAGCTAAAAAACCACAATTTCTTTCACATTGAAGATCAGCTAATGATTTGAAGGATACTGTTGTGAATCGGGCCTTTCTCTTTTTAAAATAAGGGTCACTGGAAATTAAAATGTCATTAATAAAACTAAATATAAATTTTACAATAATAAATTTTATAATTTTATAACTGAGTGAATAATATATAAATTTATAATTGATATAAATGATTATTGTCAAATTCAAAATGTAATACTGTAAGACAGAACTTGTTTCAAATCTTATCACAAATGAAACTTTTGTGGTCTGCATTAAATTGATCAAATTAAACTAAATCACAATTTGTAGGGATGGCCTATGACTCCGGTAGTGGATTGGAGTTTCAAGTCCCCTGTCCTGGTTTTTCAGCCTTGAGTCCGAATTCAATGAATTTGTACTGCGTCTCAAATCCGCAAAAAAGGAACAGTTTCAATTGAGCGCCGGCTTAAATCTTGAAACATTAAATACAATTTTAAGTGGAACAAACCATATTTGAGCCGCGTCTCAAATTAAAGCCGCGGCTAAATTTCTTTGAATTCGGCCTGAAATTTCGAACCACACGATCAAATTTTAGACATGTTCCACTATAAAATATAAATCATTCAAAACTACCAAACAAGCTGTTTGAAATAATTATGGTTTTTTGTGTGAAGTTTATTGTCTTTATGAATGTATCTTCCAGTTTAGAAAGAAAGGATTTTTTTAAAATTTGGTTTGAAATTAATGAAGTCTTGTTTAGTCACTAGTGAATATCTTTCTAAACACAAAGTTTCAATCATTAAATTCATTCAATAATTACGAACATTTTTTTGCATGATAAAAATCAAACTAAGAAATAAACTTTAAGTATTGTGTTGCATATATCTGGGACTGAGAGGACATGTTTAAACTTTAATTATAAATATTTAACATTTTTCCTGTCCTTGTAAGCATGTAAATAGAATGATCATTAAAAAAGCATAGGGGGTCGCAAAACCTTGGATTCTTTATAGAAAATTGACTTTATATCTGGAAGCAATTTGATTGATCTTGGTTTGATTTTATTTAAAAACCGATTAATCTGTTTATAATTGATCTTAACATCCTTTGATTAAGTCAAATTGATATCTAGACATCCGTTGATCTGGTTCAATTGATTTGAACATCCATTTGTTAAAGTTCAATTAATCTAACAATCCGTTTGATCTGGTTTCAATTGATCGTGTGTAAATGTTCTGAACATCCGTTTGATCCAGTGGAATTGATCTAGCCATCCGTTTGATCCAGTGGAATTGATCTAACCATCCGTTTGATCCAGTGGAATTGATTTAAATTTTAAACATCGGAAACAGAACTAGAGGAACTCTGATTATTCCTCCGATGTCTCCCAGCCCTGAACAAATANGATCAATTATAGATGTCAATGTTTTTAACGAACTCTAAAATTCATTTAAAAAGTAAAATGTCCAATTCAAACCCGTATCCTTTAAAGCTGTCATATGCTAAGTAAATGAGATATCCTAGTTTTTCTAGCTAAAAATTGGATTATTTTCAATTGATGTCTTTATAGCAAACAATTAAGGAAATTAACACTTTTCAAACCAGAAAAACGACGTTATCTTCCACATTGGTACTTTTTTAAAGGGATGAATCGGGCCTGCCACTCTACTAATGGCTGATCGCTTGAAATTACGACTCCCTAATGTCCCTTAACCCCCCCCCCCACTCCCTCCCCGTTTGAAGATAAATTCTCAGGTAAGTGAAACAAATAAAAAACTATAATTAAAGTTTTTGAACCTGTCCTTGTGGATTAAATTGTTGTGGTAACAGCTGCAGAGGCTGTTGAGGCTGCTGAAGAGGATTAGGAGGAGGCTGGAGGGCGCGAAGCGCATTAATTGGCTGAAGAGGTGCTTGTTCCTCAGAATCTAAACTTTGCTCTCTTCCCTCAGCATCGTCCTTGGTAAAAATACACAGTAAAGAGACTCTAAGCGTAATTTCAAGTGACCTCCCCCATGCAAAGATGGCAATGTCCGAGTCACAACGATACACGTAAAAGCTTTGTCTGATTGAGTATGAATTAGTTGCGGTTTCTTTTCAAAAGTCACAAAAAACATTAAGAAAAACTCGCAACTTAATACGTATGAACCTAGAAAAACGACAATATCTTCCACATTATCATCAGATATAGGTTTCAAGGGACCATTTGCAACGAGGCCAGGGTCACTTGAAATAACATTCTAAGTCCCAATATAAACAGGAGGGTTTCATAAATATTGTCCAAAGAAAGGGGGGGGGGCATTATGCCACAGTAAGATAATCAAGCAGAATATTGTAAATAAATTAAGTCGTATTTCAATGAATTTCTAAATTACGAATTTCCATAAACTGTCTAGTTTCTTCAGAAAGGATTTTTTTTCGGCAAAAATATGATTAGTAAAATCTCGCAGTCCCCGTCAGGCATCATAGTAAAGAGGCAATCGCACACACCTCACTCCCCAGTTCCCAGTAATGCCATGACCCATCCCGGTAAATTGTTACACAGTTTTATCTAAATTGATTAGACTTATTGAACCAAATGAACGTAAAAAACGGCTGAACCTATCAGGCCCAAATGTGTGCTAACTAGCACATGACCCCAGGATAGCGCTATGTCCGGCAGAATTCAAAATTTTGCCTCCAATAAATTTTAACTTAATTTGGAAATCCGCCAATAAAACATGAAAATCAGCGAAGTTTTATACATAAATGTTTAAAATGTATAAAAGGCAGATTATTAGCAGAAAAATAGTCAATTTGCACTTGTCAATCAAGTAAACGAATTGTTCTCTTTTCTTTCTTATTATTCAAATTTAGTCGTGAAAAAATTATTACAATAAATTTATTTAAAGAAAATTGATAGGGTTATGAACTCGGAAATATAAAGTATAGCTTATGCTGAAATGAACTCGGTGAATGCATCACAGAATATCAGAGAATTGATATTGAGGAAATAAAATAATTTTCAAGAATTTTCTTTCTATAAAAAGATGTTCCAAAGTACACCTGCAGAATGGAAACAGTACAACAAATGGCAGTTTATACACTTTTTTCGACTTAATTCCACTCTAAACTTATCTATTCTCTTTAACTAATCCATACCTGACGAATACGACCGGCCTGCGCTTGAAAGTGACCAGCTGCCAGGATCTACAAGCTTCACGTGTACGGTCACACACTACCTCCCACTCACGCTGGTTAGTTGATACCTAAGACAGAGCAAGAGTGATATGGTTTATTTGAGGAAAAAACAATTTATAAAAATTCATTTTTTTCCTCAATCATTTATTTTCTCGATATCAACGAAGAAGAAAAACCTTTCAAAATAATATTCTTTATAGTCCAAATGCTCATCCTCCAAAAAGAATAAAGACAAAATGGATGAAGCAAATAAAATTTGAGTTTTTTTTAAATTTAATACATTCTTAAAAATTGTGTAAGCGTAATTTCAAGTCACCCTCCATGCAAAGATGGCAATTTCCGATTCACAACAGTACCCTTAAAAGCTTAGTCTGAACAATTAGATATCAATGGTTAAAATTTTAAAAAACTGATTATTTTTAACTGTGGTTTCTCTACTTAAGTCACTAAAGTTCTATTTAAGGAAAATTTCAGAAATTATTCGAAATAAGCACTTTTAAACCTAAAAAAAAAAAACATTGTATTCAACATCTTTTTTACCAGACGAAGGTTTAATGAGTACCTTAGTAAATCGGGGATGCCATCTTTGCAAGGAGTTTGCAAGGAGAAATTACGCTTACAGTCCCTATAATATTTTATTTCCCAATTTACCTCAATATAGTAGCTATAGCTCCGGTCATCACAGTCCCAGAGAAGCAAGCGCATACTGTCCAGAGCATAGGGCTGTCCCAGCTGTACAACTATAGCACCAGAACCAAGCTAAAACAATTTATCAATCACAAGAGAAATCAATCGATCAATCAATTTGAATATTAAATCAATCCACCCCATACTACTCAGAGCATAAGGCTGTACAAGCTGTATTCTATATAGCACCATAACCAATATAAATTAATCAATCCATCAATCAGTCAATCATTACAAGATACACCAATCAAAGACACCAATAAATCAATCAAACAAACCACACTGTCAAGAGCATAGGGCTATTCTAGCTGTACTACGATAGCCCCAAGAAAAATACTAAATTAATCAATCAATCAATTACAAGATATACAAATCAAAGAAATCAATCTATCAATCAAACAATTCAGTATTGAAACTATCAACTAATGTCTGGAATTTGATCAAATCTACGTATTCTGATACCTGATGACAAGTATATCCACTGTCCCAGTCATAGTTACTTGTATCTCCATTGAGTAGTGCATTCCTCGACCTGATAATTTAGTTCATCATCTTGTCGCTAGATTTAGTAGTAGGAAAGCGACTAATTACACTACTAGAAGTAACAAACAAGAGATGACTCATCTAAATTTTGACCGTTACTAGCAGAAATATTGCTGAAATAATATAGCTGACGGCAACCATTTACTGCTTGCTTAAGCTTTATTTATCAATGAGAAGAACTCATCTCCACAAGTCAACGATTTCACAGGTGGCATGGTTAAAAACATGACTAAACCTTGCCAAACCTTTTTATTCACTGGAAGAACTACCTGCAGATCCACTCTGTAAATATACCCTGATATTTGTACCTGCAGACCCCCTCTGTAACTATACCTCTGATATTAGTACCTGCAGACCCCCTCTGTAACTACACCCCTAATATTTGTACCTGCAGACCCCCTCTGTAACTAAAGCTGAATGGTCCAGGGTAGCAACATTAGACTGTGGAATGATAAGACCAAGATCCAGGTTCTGAATTTGCTCAGTGTAAAGGGCTTCCAAGGTTACTACATGGAACACCTAGATAGTATAATTAAATATATAGAGTAGTAATCTATGTCTGTCTGTTTGTTTGTATGTACGATAACACTTTGACTGATTTGCTTTAAATTTTGATCAAAAGTTCTAAGTCGGGTAAGTTGACTTTTACCAGGAAAACATGGTTTCAAAACGAAGCCGGGTTTAGATAGTACTGTTTAGTGTTTATTGTGTACATTAAATGTGTTCAACTCAGCACTGTAAAGATAATGTTGAGAAGGCCATATTCTAATTCTGAGGTCAAGTTTAAAAAATTTGAGCTCGAACATGGTTGGTTCCACTTGAAGTTGTATTCAGTGTTTCGAGATTTGAGCCGGCGCGAAACCGGTTTTTGACGGTTTAGCGACGCGGTTTAAATTCTTTAAATTCGGTCTCTGATGTTAACTGAACAGTGAACAATGTACATGCTTTTGTTATCTAAAAGACTGCAGTTCATTTTAGAACCAGCCAAGTGCCCCAAGAGCTTTTTAAAAGTTTCCATTAAACAATGAGATTGTAGATGTATTACTGCGTACATGGTTTCTCCACATTAGATCATTCAATGATAAAATTAAACAATGAGATTGTAGATGTATTACTACGTACATGATTTCTCCAAATTGGATCATTTCACGATAAAATTTATTTTTGCAGATAAAAATATTTAACGATGATATGAAAGTAAGTAGGTATTTGATTATTTTCTTTGTGATTAATGAATGATTAAAATTAAGTGTTAGTTCCCCCCCCCCTCACTTCTCTTCGCTATCTATAAAAAGTATTTGCTGTGTTTAGGATTAATTTCAATTTGATGCAGATCCGCCCTTGACCATTTCTTTAAGATTTAGAGATTTTTTTTATCAAAAAAAAGAATTTTCAAATAATTTCTCTTTTGTTTTGTTGCTTATTTTATACCAAAACTTGATGAAACATTCAGGTATATGAAAATTTCAATATTAACTCTTTTATTAACAGTTCAAATTTGGGTTTTAAGAGCAAAAGAAACTTTTTTACAGTTTTTGGTTGATCCGTATTTTTTTTTGCGGACCAAATCCGTATCCAGGAAGCCAGGAAGCCAGAATGTTACGTATCCAAGGAGTCGGGATTCTAAACACTGTTTATTTGTTTACCTTGTTTACAGTGTTGTGTGTACCAACAATACGAAAGTATCGAACAACTCGTGCGGGGAAGTACAGATACTGCCAAGATCTAATATACAAGTAATTATTTTTTTATTATTATAAATCATTTTTACTTTTTGGGGGAAAATGAAAAAAAATTTAACCCGTTTTCAAACTTTTGCCCCAACATATCCGTGATTCGTGAATAAGAAAAATATACTTTAAGGGTAAATTCAAGTGACCCTCCATGCAAAGATGGCAATGTCTGATTCACAACGGTACCCCAAAAAAGTTTTGTCTGAAACTTGCCTACAGTGATGTTTTGAATGATCAACTACTCGGATCCAATCCTTCTGATCCATGGAGACTTCAATATAGTAGGAGTATGCTCTACGCTCATCAAATAATCAATCAACCAATTAAACAACCAATCAATCAATCAACCAATAAATCAATTAATATTAGCTTAAATAAATTCAATTTTTTGGGGGTAAGTGAAAGGGAGGGAGGCCGGGGGCTCTAAAAAATCTTTGCAGTCTAATATGATTTTAAATTTTATTCTCTACAAGGTTGCCTTTCAAAACCGATATGATGGAGACATTAAAGGAATCATAAGGAAGTGAAATCTGCAAGACGCCCCATTGTGTTCCCCCCAGACCGCCCAGGCAGCAGGGTGCACTGCCCCGCCCCTGTTCTAACTAGACCTTTAAATCCCCATCATTTAGTCATTTAGACATTGTTTGGTTAAAAATAGTGAATCTACGCAGATATTTTCAATCTACCCCCAACAAGGGCATAGAGTTTAATTCACCAAATAATTTAACAAAATAGTTTTGACAGAAGCCTGTGTCAAGATAAAAATCGCTCAGTAATATTTGTTTTCTTACAATGATAACTTATTATGGCAAACTTGAACTTTTAGAGTGAAAAATTTCAAAAGAGGATAAATTTTTCAGATTTCTAAGAAGCCATCTAACTAAAAGCCGAGCGGCAGAGTATGCACAGTGATCCAAAGGTTGCAAGATCTTAGGCAAAAATAAATAAGTTTTTCCAATAACTTCTTAAAACTAATGCCCAAAACATGTTTGAAAAATATGAAAAAAAAACCGACACTACAAAAAAGTATATAATATATATGTTGAATCTATAACTTTATTATTCAAATAATTAGTTCATTACTTATGAAAAGTATAGTACACTACCATATTAAATGGATAGATCGACCTTAGAAGTTTTCTTCACCATTGGTCCGTAGACGGGATACTACTATACATTCACTCCCAGTTCTTATTTTGAATAAAGAAGCTGGCAAATTACCAACAAACAACCAGTCAACCAACATTATTTGTAAGAATGATCACAGAAAAGCATGAAAAAGCTATCATTGGTTGACATTTTTTGATTGATTGCTTGATCAACAACTTGATTGATTGATTTATGTTCCTTTGATCTCTATCCCAGAGGAGTAGATTTATCCTGTTAAGTATACAAGGCATCCCCAGCTTCACCACAATACCTGCCACAAAATCCGATGCAAAAAACGAAATATTTAAAATTGAAAATTTAAAAAATGGTTAGGTTCTACTTTCGTAACTGGCCTTAGAAGAATCCTTCATCATCAGCCTATGGACGGGTTACTGCAATACACATACATCCAAGTTCTATATTGAATTAAGAATCTGGTAAATTATGGATCCAATGAACCAGGCAAGAAAAATCCCCCCAAAACTCATGTGAACTGTCAGGTAAAAGTACCTAAAATGATCATCCTAGGGTAGTGGTGGTTAGTTACGTAGCTTTATAATAGAATAGAATAAAAGTGAAACGTGTTAATTTACAAACATATTTAGCTTTGAAAATAAAATAAAATAAAAAACTTTGCAATAAAAATAATTCATTAATACTGTATAGTGTATAGCAGCCCAGTGGCAAGGCTGATGAACAACCAACATTTCACCCTAGTAATACGATTTAAAAATATTTTCTTTTATAAAATTGAAAATTTTAGATTGTTGTTTATCAAATCCTAACACTACTCTCTCTGTATTACTTCAAACAGCTTGTATTGATTCATGCTCTACTATTTACCTGTCTGGCTTCTTGACCGTATTATTTCCTGTCTGTCTGCTCTACTTCCTGTCTGGCTGCCCGACTTCTGGTTGTCTATTTTCTTCCAGCCTTTATTCCTGCCTGTCTGGCTTCCTGCCTATTTTCCTACTAACCCTGATTCCTGCTTAAGTTTCTACATGCCTGGCTTCCTGCCTGCCTACCTTTATCTCCTGCTTCATCAATAGGATGTCTAGAGAACCCTCTCTCCATATCATAATTCTGAACAAAACAAAATGTAAAATTAAGATAAGTTTACAATTTTTAATCATTAAAAATCAATGGAGATTGGAAAAGGGTTTCAATCAGTTAATGTTTAAAATGGCCATCAAAGCGTTTTTTTTTCTGTATTCATAAATAGTTCATAGTAGTAAGTATTAATTGATAGAAATTGTAAAACATGAATTTTACAAAATAAAAGAAATTAAAATTTATAATTTGTCACCTTGTTATCTCCGTTGAGTAGTGCATCCTTAACCTAAAATATACTCAAATAAAGATTTATAATAAAGAATAAAGCAATTTTGAAACGGACCGGTTATGGACACCTGAAGCCCCCCCCCCTCTTGCATAAAACCCTCCTAGTCACTTTAAAAGTGAAACAACGATTAAAAATTATCAATTTTAAAATAGAAAAGGAGAAATATTACAGTCACTTTCAACAATATTGGTGCGTCCTACCTCACCAACCAGTACAGTAGCTCCATGCCGAGGGAGTGCAACATTCTCCTCTGGTATCTTGTATCCACGGTATCTAAATGCATAGCGGTCAATGACGATTACTAGCGATCAAGGCCGATCAATAGTGTTTAAGACGATAAATAAAAAGCAAGAACGATCGATAAGGAACAATAACGAGCAATAACGATAAATGACAATCAATGATGGTTAATGAAAATCAATAGTGGTTGATGACAATCAATAGTTAGTGGTAAATGGCAGTCGTTGTCGTTGGAGGCTTTTAGCTGTCCATGGCAAGCAATGTAGGTCAATAACGATAAATAGCTGTCAATGACGAGCAATGATGGTCAATAACAATCAATAGTGGTTAATGACAATCAAATACGGTCAATGACAATTAGTGCTGATCATTGGCCAATGACGGGAACTAACGGTAAATCAAGAATATCAATGAGTCATTTAAGTATAGAGGTCAATGATTATAAATGATGGTCAAAGACCATTTGCAAAGATCAGGTGAGGTCATTAACGGTCAAATATGATCGAAGAAGACTAAAATGGGAAATAAACAATAGTTCAATTGCTTACCGGTCATTAAAAGGTGAATAAATGTTAATTAAAAGATTAAATGATTAAGATAACTTTCCAAACGTCTCTTCTTTTACCTTAATTCAGTATCTTTGCTTTCAGTCCGAGATTGAATTGCATCTAGAAGTACGTCAGGAGGTATTAGGTCTGTAGGTCTGACCACCTTCAGTAAATCCTAAATATATAAAACTGTAATTTGGACCACCTTCTGTAAGCCCTTGATGTAAATAAGAATTACAAAATCTATCCTGGGGAAATTATCAAATTAACATGGCAAAAATTAATCTAACCCCAGACGTTTCACTGTTCCTTACTTCCTTGTTTACCTACTTGTAGAGTAATCCGTCTTAACTGTCCTACCCCCCTCCCCCGCCTCTATCTTCACAATTTACAAAAAAAAATTTGTGAAGCCCTAAAAACCGGTTTCCAGGGACCAGATTTTTAAATTAGCGTAACCGTAAACGTAGTTGAACCAGTTCTATTGTGCTCCAATTCAAGAAGTGGTTCAACTTAGTCTCTGAAGTTCAACTTCTTTTCACTTATAAAAGGGACTGTAAGCGTAATTTTAAGTGAACTTCCATGCAAAACTGAGAATTCTCGATTTACAACGGTACCACTAAAAGCTTTGTGTGATCAAGTATGAATTATAAATCCATGTTTTCTTTAATTAAAACAGACTGTATCTTCTCCATTTTTGATCAGATTAAGATTTGTTTCAAGGGTACCGTTGTAAATCTGACATTGTCATCTTTGCATGTAGGGTCACTTGAAATAACCCTTTAAGTCCTTTTTCTTGGATTTGGTCCCAACCCTAGCTACCTGTATACTCAGAAGACTGAGTCTTATCTCCTTGAGAACTTGAGAAACTTCAGCCTCAGGATTCCCTTTAGCCCAGCTAGCAACAGCTCTGAACAAAAATAGAGTAAATTTAAAAACAAGTACGCCCCCCCCCCCTTCATTCTTTAAGATGTTTAAGGTTACTTGATTTCTAGCTGTCTTATCCTTACCTCACTTACTAAAGTTGAGCCCACGATTTAAAAGCTTCGACTCGAGTCTTAATTCCTTAGACCCAGGCTTAAGGCTCAATCTTATGAATCAGCTCTTAGGCTCAGTGAAAATAAAACCGATGTAGCGTTAAATCCAGACCGGGCGTTATATTTGGTCTGGGTGAGTGTAACATGTAAAAGGTCTTTTTTCTGTTGAAGTATCTTAGTCAGCCTAAATTATTAAAAAGTTGTAAAGTCTGCAATCCTTCTCGGAAAAAAGTAAACACTCATTGAAAACAAATTATACTCTTAAATTAGTTTCCCTTTAAACAAAGTTTACAAAACTTTCAAATTCATTTTCATCTTTTCCTTTATTCTTTTAAAATTCTGACTTTTGGTGGTGTTCTACTCATTTTCTTCTTGAATATCTAATTTTAGTGCAACAAAGTTGAGAATTTCTTTGATGTAGAAAAGTTATAAAATATCATTTTTAACATTTGAAATGACGCAAATATTTAAGAACAGTAAGATAATATGAAATATTGAAAAATAGAATTTCAGGGGTGTAAATTTTCAGAATGATATTTTGAGGGAAAAAATGAAAAATTGACATCCAAAGGCTACTTTTTTTCAGTCTTTTTGATAGTTCCTACTCAAACATTCATTCATTTTCCCCTGAAAGCACACATACAGAGCGTACCATATCATATTAGATTATTTCAAAGCTTGAACGCCAAAATATTTACGTAATAGACGAAAACCTGGTATTTTCTGAAAGAAATTTTTCATATTAGCGTTATATATTTTTTTTTAAATGATTCTTTTTTAATTTTCTAAAAAGTCCCTTAATTCTCAATTCAGACGTAAAAACGATATAATATGATGTGGAAAACCTGGAATTTCTTTGGAAAAAAATGATTTTTAAAAGGAAGGGTGGGAAGAAAAATGATTTTTCGAAAAAATATACACCCCTGTAGGATTTCTAATGCGCAGAATATTTATGATTTTTCCCGATTAAATTCTCAATTATGATTAAAAAAGTCCTCTCAAATGCTCTGGATTGAAATTAAGCTGCGCTAACTAGTTCTATTTTAACTAATTAACCCACTATATATATCAATGAAAAATTCATGAAAGCATAAAGTCAATCTTAAGAATTCGAAGCTTTTTCTTTCTATTTGTAATTTTTCCGAGAAAAGGCAACAAACAATTTTCCGCTTCGTTTGTATCAGTTGTTGCGTATTTTTTTCAATACTATTTAAANCGCCCTTCTTTCTAGGCTTTTAGGGCGCTTTGCGCCCATCTTCTATTTAAATTGTGAACATGTTCTTTTTGTTTACATTTTAAAACAAAGAAGAAAAAATGTTTGCGGATTTTTAAAAAAAAATTCGCGGATTTTCAAGAATTTAAATTTTTTTACAAAATTAAAAACCTTTAAAACACATTTTTGTTTAATTTTTACCATTCATAAACCTTCTTTGTGGTCACGTAATATCCCAAAAAAAATTTGGGCCCGATCGGTTCAGCCGTATTGACGTTTATTGGATACAAACAAACAGACAAACAGACAGGCCAATGTCCTGTTCACAATGGTACTGATAAAACCTTTGTCTGATCCAAGTGTAAATAAGATATCCATGCTTTTGCTTTTGGAAACTCACTGATTTTTTTGTGGTTTCTCGATAAAAGTGAATTGAGCATTTTATGCTTTAGAAATACTAGATAAGTTTATCAGAATCTAGCTTAAACAGTTTTCTCAGTAGAAATGAAAAAGCCACTTTTATGAGGAAACCATAATTGAAAATAATCAGTTTTCAAAATCATAAACATTGATATCTAATACAGACTTCACAAGACAAAACTTTTAAAAGTATCATTGTAAATCAGAAGTTGCAATCTATGCAAGTAGAGTCATTTGAAATTACGCTTACAGTCCCTTTAATAAATGCGGTGTTCCATTGAAATTACGTCTGATTTACCTCTGATTGTGAAGATTCTCTCATCCCTCCGTACAGCAAAGCTCTGAAGTATTCCGACCTTGCCGCCAGTATAACCTAGTAGTTCAACTACGTAGACATTGTTAAACCACTTCTCTTGTTCGCCCATCAAAGTTGAAGTGGTTGGACTTAGTTAATACGTAATTTAACTGCTTCTCTCCATTAATCATAATATTTAATTACATTTCTTTTGAATTTCCTTAACAAAAAAATAATTTTCAATTTTATTTTTTCGCTTATTTTTATCCTAAAACTTGATGAACCATTCAGAATGAGGAAATTTTAATAATCTCTCTTTTTCAGAAGTTCAGATTTGGGGTTTAGGAGTAAAAAACTTTTTTTTAAAGTTTTTGGTTGATATTTTACCCCTCGGATCTGGATCCGTGGATCCGCATATTTTTGCGGATCCGGATCCAGGAAGCCAAAATCTTGTGGATCCAGATCCTAAGCACTGATTTAATATAATAAATTCAAGGGTATTTATTTCTTTTAAACTTATTTTTCCTCCACATTTTACTTACTTTCAAGTATCAAAAAATACTTCAAGGGTTTCATGGCCGAGTTGGGAAATTTAATAATATTCAGGAGAAAATCCACTTTAATCATTTCAGTTTTCCCAAGGGATGGGAGAAACAAAAAAATAAACAAATGTCGAGATTTAAGTAATTAACTTAGGAAACATTAAAATATTTCTATAATCTGAGATATAAAAATCCGTTAGTACCTTGTGGGCAGAGAAACGTGAATTTTGAACCACCAGTGTAATGTCAGAATATTCATCACTCAAATATAGCTTGTTCAACTGGTCTAAAGATTCAATGTAAGTTTTTCAACTGGTCTAAACATTCATTGCAACTTGTTCAACTGGTCTAAACATTGAATGTGGCAATTGTTCAACTGGTCTTAACATTCAATGTAACTTGTTCAACTGGTCTAAAAATTCAATAAGCTTGTTTAATTGGTCTAAACATTCAATGTAACTTGTTCAACTGGCCTAAACATTGAATGTGACTTTCTAAACTAGTATAAACATTCAATGTAAATTGTTCAACTGGTCTTAACATTCATTGGAACTTGTTCAACTGGTCTAAACATTGAATGTGACAATTGTTCAACTGGTCTTAACATTCAATTTAACTCGTTCAACTGGTCTAAAAATTCAATAAAGCTTGTTTAATTGGTCTAAACATTCAATGTAACTTGTTCAACTGGCCTAAACATTAAATATGACTTTATAAACTGGTATAAACATTCAATGTAAATTGTTCAACTGGCCTTAACATTCATTGCAACTTTTTCAACTGGTCTAAACATTGTATGTGGCAATTGTTCAACTGTCTAAACATTTAATGTAACTTGTTCAATTGGTCTAAACATTCAATTTAACTTGTTCAACTGGTCTAAACATTAAACGTAACTCGTTCAACTGGTCTAAAAATTCTTTTTAAAGATCTAAATGTTTATTTTGTAAAATTATAACATAAAACATTACTGGTTAAAAGATATATGTATATACTAAATATACATGTTTATAATGACATTTTACATTTATATATATTTTCACTGTCTATTAAACAAAGATTAGTTCTCGAATGTGCGTGTACCAAATCACATCCTTTTGTGCTGGAATCTTTTGAGACAAAGCAGGCAAAGAAATCCCCCACTTTTGCTCTTGTTCTTTTTGGAAAAAAAATTCAATACAGCTTGTTAAATTGGCCTAAAACTTCAATACAGCTTGTTCAACTGGTTTAAACATTAAATATGACTTGTTCTAGTCTAAACATACATAATAACTTGTGTAAGTGGTCTGAAAATGGAGTTATTCGTTTAAAACCGGTCTCAACTAAATATTGCTTGTTAAATATAAAATAACCAACCCCCCACACACTTCTCCTTATGCTAACCTGAAAGCTGATGAACATGTTGTATCTCACAGCAAGATATTGCCGGGCTAAAAGGCTGCTGACTAGACATGTTCTTATTAAGTTCTGAAAAAATATTAAAGATTTAATGATTATTCCTGAGCAAATGAACAAAACCTGTATCAGTAATCAGGGAGGAATAACTGGTATTGGCTTGATGCTTGTATAACCAATGCATATTATATCCTTTATTGATATATTTATCTGCACTATAGAATGGGGAACCCCAAAACACAAAAATACCCAACTTCTGGGGGAAAACATGATTTGCAAAAGTGGAGGGTGGGGGGAATATGTTTCATGAAAATATATACACCAGTTTTATCTCTACTTCAATTGCGGTCAACATTCTCATAAATCGGAAGTCATTAAATTTGGTTGTATCACTAATGAGCAACAAAAAAACCGTGTTGATTTTTTTTTACAGTAAAAATCGGATAGAAATAAGATCATTGAAAGTAGATAAATCTAACATAAAAAAATTATCCATGACATCCTCTGATGAAATTCCAATAGGAGCACATCTTAATTTAACTGAATTTAACCCCTATTATAACCAACAATGCCGCCCTATGAATTTATCACAACAGAGGGGGGTTGATTGGGACATTTATGTAAAAAACCACCCGCTCTTCGAAGTTTTCAGAAAAAAAATTCGCGCATTTTCATCCCAAAAAACGATAAAATGTGTACAACTACTTTATCGGGAAATTAAAATTTGATTTGGCTGCGGGTTCCCAATATCAATTTTGCCTACAGAACATCCAGAGCGCAGTAAAATTCCCTTAACTTTCCTGCAAAGTAGTTGTGAATAATTATCATTAGACCCTTGACTGCATATTTCAATCAGATAGGCTCCTATGTTTCTTATTCACGGTGTCGATATATGAAGAAGAACAAACCATTCTTTCTTTGAATTACAAACCAGTCCTAGGATAGTTCCATAATAGCAAAAGTATAAACGATTAGATTAAGCATTAGCGACTTATGAATCCGTATTTCCTAAACACCGGTGTTAGTGTTAAGAGTGGTATTAGAGCGGTATTAGCTAATACCGCTCTTAAGATACCGGACTCTTGACCCGGCCAGAGATAATATTCTGTAAAACCGGTATTGTTCCGTGTTCGATTAATATTCATATTGGGTGCCCGGCGGTGCGCCCCCTACTTTTCGATTTTTTTCCGAATTTCGAAAATTCAAAAACCAATTCAGTAGGATTAAGCAATTAATAGTTATATCTTTAAGTTTCTTTGTTCTACTCCGAGGTCTCAATTAGTTGTGTCAGCTCTTGCTGATTCAGTCCTACTCCTGTAATTCTACACAAGCAACTTTTCTTATTCTTAACGCCGCGCTGGGCGATAAAATCCCAAGTTTGAACAACAATTATTTAAATTTATTTTTAGCAGCTGATTTGGAGTCATTTAACGCGAAAGTACTAATAGTTTACAGAAAAAAAGCGAAAATGTAATTTTTTGGGCCGAGCGCTGAGGCTAGGAGTAGGACAGACTAGGAGCCGAGCGCTGCGGCCACATGAGTATGACCAATTTTATCCATGTGAATTACATATGAGATCCATATATTAAATTGATAGGAGGGGGGTTCCAAAAATCGTATACTAAAGGGAATTTCCCCACTCTTGAAATGAGAGTTACTTAAAATTGATATTATGGCTACAGTCACTTAATTAATGAATTTTAGCATGAATCAAATCCTATAATATAGAAACATCGAATCTAGGAATTTTCCGTGTCCGTGTTGGCAGCCAACATTGATCAATATTCTTAATTTCTAAAGTGGACTCTGCAATTTTAGTGAGAAGTACAAAACTCAAACGAAGTGTAGATTGAGGATGTAATTTACGTTTTAAAAATTTCACCTGAAAGCTTTGAGACACTCAACTTTATCTGAAAAACTAAAGAAATAGATACGAAGATATAATGAGAGAATTTTTCTCTCCAATTTTTGCAAATGAGATAAAGTATTGCTGATATGTTTTTGGTAATTTCCTAGAGAGCGATTTTTGGCCCCCCCCCCCCCCCGCCTATCAATTTTGTACATGGATTTCACATGTAACACTCACCCGGACCTTCAGTCTTATTCTAATATCAAATGCCTCGAATCCGTCAATTCCAACCATGAAAATCTGCCAAATACAATATTTAACCGGTTTTATAAACTCAACTCTGTGGAACCTTAATCCGAGAGCTCGAGTCTTAAATTAGTCCAAATGACAGCTTAGACCCAAATCTTATTTTCCCGAATTTTCAATTGTTAGCCGTAGCGATCAATATCAATGAATACATAGCCTATCTACCCCCTTTTATTTATCGCTAACAGACGGGAGGGGAAAAAACAAAGAATCTAATATATAATAATTTATTACCTGAAAATTTGAACTTCTTCGGCACAGAAAGAATCCCGAGAAATAATTTCTCGAACAGAAAATTCTGACAAACTGGTAAAAGACTCGTGGTTGAGAATATCTACAGCATGTCTAGGGTTTCCAAAATCAAATAAATACATGGAAATACTTTCAACAAGAAGTGCTTGCTTGGGGGGAAAAAAATATGTAGGAGAATACTATCCAATTTATGCTATTTAGGGATGAATAAAGAAAAAAACTGGAAAAAAAAGGTGTTAAATTTCGGTTGAACCCCCATCACTGAAATAAAACCTGCAAACTTGTGTCTACTATCATCTATTTTATTTAATAAAATTCCAGACAAAATGTTTTTAAAAAACATTTTAAATACCCCCCTCCCCCCCTAAAGCCGGGGAGGGGAAAGAAAAGTGTGAGCTCAACTTAAGTGAGACCAATGTATGGGAGGGGGACGGAGATAGAAAATCCATTTTGTGAAAATTTGATTTTTTTTCCTGTCCATGAATACAAGGCAAGCCTGAGATAGGTTTCTTAGATGGAAGAGTGCAGAAGTATCGTAGATCAAACAGACACTGGATATACTCAAAACAGCCTAAAATACAGCGTACAGTGTTACAGTGTACAGTTCAAAGAGTACAGTTGTATCGTAGATCAAACTAACACTGGATATACACAAATCAGCCTAAAATACAGTGTACAGTATTACAGTGTACAGTTCAAAGAGTACAGTTGTATCGTAGATTAAACAGACACTGGATATACTCAAAACAGCCTAAAATACAGCGTACAGTGTTACAGTGTACAGTTCAAAACAAACACTGAATTTACTCAAAACAGCCTAAAATACAACTTACAGTGTACAGTTCAAAGAGCATACAGTTGTATCGTAGATCAAACTAACACTGGATATACAAAAAACAGCCTAAAATACAGCGTTCATTGTACAATTCAAAGAGTGCAGACGTATCGTAGATCAAATTCAAACAGACATTGGATATACTCAGTACAGCCTAAAATACAGAGTACGTTATTGTACAGTTCACAGTGTACAGTTCAATGAGTACAGTTGTATCGTAGATCAAACAGACCCTCGATATACTAAGTAGAACCTAAAATGATGTCTTACACCTTTGATATTTTAAACTATCAGAACTGTTCAATCAAAATTACTAAAATTTGTAATATCCAAGGTTTACACCATCACGCGTCGGGATGCAAAGATACAGGGATTAGAAATTTCGAGTTTGAGGAGTGTTCGAAAATTCAATTCGATATCAGACAAACCCACCTTCTATTTTTTGAAAACATTCCCTTTAAGGCGAGTTTTTATTTCCTACGAATACCTTTAAATAATCTGAGATTGAAGACTCGAGTTCTGGGAAGTCATATTGGTGAGCCAGGGATAGAATATCCAGGATAACTCAGATAAAGGTTTAAAGGGTAGTGTTGTTAATCGGACGAACACATAATGAACAGACGGTTACATGGAATTAGTCTACACTCCCTTTAATTAATTAATTAATTAATTCCAATAAAAAGTAATTGTTACATTAGTTAGAGGCATTATCATTAATTTTAGTTGTTAAAGCAAAATACAGATAACAAATTTTATGTATCTCAATTTTTAGAATTACGAAAACTTAACAATTTTAGCAAACATTTGGCGGTTTTTTCAATTTTTTCAATTTTCATTTAAATATTTATTAGTGTAAAATATTGATCAGATTGCAGATGAAATCCAGGGTTACCCATAAAGGATGAGACCGTAAGACGACTTGGGAACCTTAAAAACGCCATTAAAGTCTGGAGATTTCAATATTAATGATAGTCTTTTGTCTTGGATATTGTCTTTAAATGGCTTATTTTCTGATTTGAGGTAAATATGTAGTATGTACTCAAATCAAATCAAATCAAATCAAATCAAATCAAATCAGAATTTCAGGGACATCCAAACAACTAACCAAATCAAGTACTGACATGACTAAATCAACTAAATCAACCTCATATAATTTGGAATGAAGATAATAAGTTAAACTTCATTTTGACAAGACTTTTGTTTATAGAAAATTTTCATGAAAAAATTAGCTTTTGATGAGTCAAAATCGACAAAAAAATAACGTTTTCCGGGTAAACATCTAGAAAAAATCTATACAATTTAATACATTATCCATGCATTCCGTACAATTTTTTGGTAAAAATTTTAAAAAATCTGTACATTTTGGCCACCCTGCAAATGTAAGGAAAATACAGTATAAATGTCGTACAGTCGTCTCCTAAGTCTAATCCTTTGTGGGTAACCCTTTAGTGTATGTAGTACCTTAGGTTAAAATAAAAATAACCTGTATAAATATATTTAAGCAGATGCTTGAAAGCTGGGAGGGGTGTTCCCTTTATTTCAACCTAAAAGATATAGTTAACTTTTATTACAAACTGTTCCTGAAAATTGAAAAATTTGTTTACATTGTATTTCTAATGGCATGTCCGGTTCACAATACTCATTAAAGCTTTGTCTGATCAAGTGTAAATAAGATATCCATGCTTTTGCTTTTGGAAACTGATTTTTGTTGTGGTTTCTCAATAAAAGTGAATTGCGCATTTCATGCTCGAGAAATACTGGATACATTATCAGAATCTAGCTTAAACAGTTTTCTCAGTAGAAATGCACAAGCCACTTTTATGGGGAAACCATAATTGAAAATAATCAGTTTTCAAAATCATAAACATTGATATCTAATACAGACTTCACAAGACAAAACTTTTAAAAGTATCATTGTAACCATGCGTACGACAGAGATGGTGCTGTTTGCACATTTTCTCAAGACCTCTAAATTTATACCTGCCTGCATATCTATATATATATTATCTTTGATCGTATACTAGGAAATTACCGCTTTCAACTATGCGGATAAAGTTTAGAAAGAAATTGTAAATGCGCAAGAACTAAACGAATGCCGCGTTAATCAAGTTTTTAATTCATTTTGGCGCTCAAGACGACAATTATTTTTTTGAGAAAAACAAATTTTTTATCATAAAAATGTTAAAGAAAATTATTTTTTTACAATTGTTAAAAAATTAATTGGAATTTTCGTAAGAAAGTAAACCATTTAAAATCTTTAAAAAAATAGTAAAAAAATGTTTCATAAGGGTCGTCTTTTTTTTGGATGAAATTGCGCCAAATGCTGCGTCGATTCATCCAATGAGATGAGAGGCCGGGTCAAGAGTCCCTTAATAGCACTCTTAACTAATCCTGGTTGGTAGGATCATCTACCCTACGCGTTCATAAGTTGTGCTAATACCGGATCCTAGCCCCGGCACTCTGCCCCCTAGCCACAGCGCTCGGCCCAGAAAGTGTCTTAACCTAACCTAACCCTAAATAAATACTACAATAATAAATGTACAGACCCATGTTTTTTGATACTGATAAAAGTTGTTAAGAATAAGAATTAGCTGCAAAATCTCTAGATGCATCCTCTGCATTGAATGTTTAAAAAAGTAATTATATTCATTCAAAACATACTTCTCTCATCCGGTTTGTTTTCAGATATTTAGCGAGCATGATTTCCAATGGAAAGCTGTCATGCTGTTGCACGATGTAATTCAAGAGGAGAAAATATATTTGCTGACAATTTGATAATCTACAGTCTTCCCATCTGTAGTTCTTCTCTGCTATTTGACCAACCACAGTTCAATCATTCAGCTGGAAATCGACTACAGTTGATTAATTCGCAGGTTTCTCAACCTCAAATTTATCCCCGTGGGCCTCAAATACATCAACCTTCAGTGGTGTTTTCTTCGATTCAATCATCTCAAGTAATCAATCCGCAAATTTATCAGCCTCAAGTGACAAATCCCCAACTCTATCGGCCTCAAGTGATTAATCCGCAAGTCTATCGGCCCCAAGAGATTATTCCACAAGCCTATCAGCCCCACTTGACAAATCCGCAAGTATATCAACACCAAGTGATTAATCCGCAAGTATATCAACACCAAGTGATTAATCCGCAAGACTATCAGCCCCAAGTGATTAATCCGCAGGCATATCAACCTCAAGTGATTAATCCGCAAGTGTATCAGCCTCTAGTGGTAAATTCAACAAATTATCCATCCCAGTCGATTAATCCGCAAGTTTATCATCCCCAAGTGACTGATTCACCGATTTATAAGTCCGAAGGGGTCAACTCATCGTTGTACAAAGCACAAGGGGTCAACCCGCAAGGTTATCAACCCCAAGTTGTTGAAGCACCGAATTGTTCCCAGAGAAATCAAAAACAATCAATCAATACTCAAGTTAGTCAGTCGCATTTGATAAATCCTCAATTGATCCCACAACCCTATTCTGCTGATCATCATTCACAGTCACAGTTGATCAATTTCCCAGTTGATCAACCACATTTGATCAATCCGCCCAATACTCGGGTACTATCGATTGATCAACCTTCATCAATCATATCACCAGGATATCAACCTTTATCACCCAACCTATCCGGTAATGCCTGTGGTCAGTTTGACATAAAGAAAGATATTAGAATGGATACAAACAAAGATGAAAGTCTAGTAGCTGCTAACGATGAATATAACAAAGATCGGACAATGAGTTCAGAACACGAAGAAAACAGCTTGAAATCGGAAGTAGTTTATCATTACGAACCTAGCAGCGACGAAGAAGAAGAAGAAGAAGAAGAAGAAGATAAAGGTTTGGAAAAGGATGACTTACCAGATACGACTGAAGAGAAAGAATCCGAAGACTTCAAAATTTCAGAAAATGATGATTATGACCTAGTGAGCGAGCAAGTTGCTGAAGAAATGGAGGGTACATCTAATGCTCATGTGCTTGAACCCCGGGAGAAAGATCCCATTAACATAGACGATCTTCTAGATGATGATGTAAGAGATCCTGACTACAATGAAGAACCTGAAGAAGAGGATAATGATAATCCGGACTTTGAAATTAAAACGACCAGAGGAGGACGTGTTGTCAAGAAAGTTAACTATAAGGAAAAGGAGATATCTCAATCACGTTACAAGGAGGACTCATCACGTGACACCAAAAATAAATCTAACTCACGTGACATCAGAAGATTAAGTACAACTGATGATAAAACTAGGATGCCAATACAGAGGATTATCATCCCTCCGGTGACGAAGGTAACTTTTCTGAATCGAAATGGTTTCAGTGCTGGGAACTCTTTTATTGTTGATATTCAATCTTTATTCATATCCTGCATTGTAATCGTACCCAGTCAGGGGTTGAAGAGAGCTTTGATCAGCGGAGTAATAAATAAATAAAGATAAAGATTCTCAAATTAGCACACAGTGAATATCGGAATCCAAGGGGATTTTGATTGTCTAACACAAAAGTTCCCAGCTCCGAAAGAAAAATTAATTCAGTTCTTAAGATTTAAGTCGTTTTAGTATTTAATATCAATTTAGTATTTTCTAGATTTAATTTTTTAATTTATTTAATTTACAAGCCGTCTTTTGAGAACTAAATGAGCTAGCATTCCGGCTTGCAACATTTCAGTTTAAATCCAAACTATTCTCAACTTTTTGGAATAAATTTGGCCTGCCTGCACGCTATGTTAAGTGGGTGATGGGTTTTTTTGCAGTGCACAGTCAAATTACTTGATCCCGAAAAAATTATCAATAATTTCTCAAATTTTTAGTGGATCCTCTCTTTTTCTTAATATCGAGACTAACCTAATCTTGTACTTGTATCCTGAAAAGTGTATAAAATTCAACCAATCACAATCGCGTATATGAAGCCGATAAGTTTGAAATTTTGCGCGCCATTTAAGATTATGTGTAGAAGCGGAAGGTACTCTCTAATTTAGAAAAACCGGGTTTTGATTTTTCTCTTTTATATTCAAGAAAGAACGGTTTAAGAAGAAAACCAAAAGTGTGTCCATAGGATACTCAGATTAAGTAATAGGGATTCAGGATCTCATCTAAAGTTTTCAGCTCAGTGCTTACCTGAATTTGATGTGGATTCTAGCACTTCAACACTTAACTTATCTTTTCCATGTTCTAGGAAACCCCCAGAAGGATAATTGTCAGTGAGAAAACTAAACCCCCTATTAGAACAATCATCGTTCAACCAACAGAAAAAAAGAAAATGTACACAACAATTAAGGTAATAATTAAGATTATTTAAAAATTTTAAAAATATAAAAACTTGTTAGACCCATGGTTCCCTTTCTGTATTAGTTAAGTTGAAAATTATTTTCTTAACAGATAATTATAATTTTAGTAGATTCTCAATATCTCAGGGGTATATCATTTTACGAATTTTTTATGATAAAGGGGGGGATTTAAAACTAGACCTCGATAAGCACGTTCTTTTATCCAAAAAAAATTATTATTTTCCCAATTCAGTTAATAAAACCCCTCTAACATTTTTTGATTAACTTCTGAGAGGAAAACAATGATTCACAAAAAGAGAGAGGGGGGGTAATGATTTTTCATAAAAATAAACACACCGGAAACATCTAAAATTAGGTGATGATTCATATTTAGATGATAATCTCAGATTAAATTAGATCTTAATAACGTTTTTTTTAAGAAGCTAAATTTTTTTCTAAAGTTTTGAAACAGTGGTTATTAATTAAAGAAATAAACTCATAATCCCTTGTAGAAGTTAATAAAAATCTCAGATTAAATTCGATCTTAATAACGTTTTTTTTCAAGAAGCTAAATTTTTTTCTAAAGTTTAGAAACAGTGATGTTTAATAAAAGAAAAAAACCATAATCCCCTATAAAAGTTAATTAGTACTTATTTTTATGTCAGGTTCCCGTGGAAAATAAACATCCTAAGGCCACTAGAATAATCAAAAGTGCAACTTCTACGACTGTTTCTTTAAAGCCAGGTTATTTTAGAAATATTTTGGATTATATTTGATGGATAAATGCATTACAGATTTTCACTGTTCAGACATTTCTGCAGTTGAGTTATTGGATAAGTCGTTGGTTGATTCATTGGTTGCTTCGTTGGTTGCGTTGGTTGCTTCGTTGGTTGATTCATTGGTTATTTCGTTGGTTATTTCGTTGGTTATTTCGTTGGTTGGTTGATTGGTTGGTTTATTGCTTTGTTTATTGGTTACCTCGTTGGTTGCTTCGTTGGTTGGTTTATTGCTTTGTTTATTGGTTAGTTCGTACTTTAAATTGAACATTGTGGATTCAAAGTTCTGACTTGTTTATCGCTATCTTCTACTACGTTGTGTTCACTGTACAGTTATCCTCTACTAATGATTTGTACAGGTGAAGAATACTCCAGTTTACGAGGAGAGACTGAACGGCATTGGGAAGTTTCTCAAAATCGATTTAGGTAAAAAAAATTATCTTGTTTTTTTACATCTTTAATATACCACGGAAAGGGAAGCATTTTTGTTCTTGTTCGAAACTTAAGAATTTTCTCTTATGGTCCTCTTTGTTTTAGAACGACCCTTTTGTATCGTAGTAAATTATTATATGCTTGCACATTTTGGGACCAAATAGAGATAAATAGATTATATATATATATATTAAAAATTTCAATTCAAAAATATATTCTAGATGACGCTGTGAAAAAGATTAAATATTTTGATTCCCTGAGTTTACCGCATCTTCAACTCTACTTCTCAATCATTAACTGTTTAGGTAAAAAAAATAATCTACCATTTGTCTACTGTTGTTGTTTTGTATTTGATAAACGTTCAAACGGATGAACCGATCGGGCCCAATTTTTTGTCGGATAAATCAATGATAATATAATATAATATAGAAAAATCACATTTAAGGATGTACGAAAAATCGTAGCATATATTATTAAAACACTTCGGAACGGCCCTTTAGAAAATGAGCCTTTTTTGTTGCATTTTAGCCTACCGTTCCTTATTAGAAAAGTAAAAAACTACCCGATTTTTAATCGATAAAAGAAGTATCTCTAAAAATTTTAATTTCTGCGTACACCTTATATAAACCTCGGGCATTTTCTTGCGTTTCACTGCTCAAAACCAGTAATTTCCTATGAAAATATCTTATCTTTGATTTTTAAAATATCTTCTTCATTTATGTTGGTGGATTGGATTGATTGGACTGAAGCAGAAATTGAACTTCCATTCCATTGTCTAGCTTGAAGGTTGATAAATTCTGAACATTTCCTCCATTGTTTCTGAAGCAAAAATGCTCAAGTCACTTTAAAAAGAACCTATTATCGAAAATAATTAATTTTCTCATGCATTCTTGACCAAGGGTATTGTTGTGAACCTCTAATAATGGGGGGTCACTTGAAATGACGTTATCAGTTCCTTTCATGAGAAAAATTGTTTCAATGTCTGTGAAAACCTGTTTTTATTTGAAGAATACTTTAGATTTTGATGGACCTCCAGCAGGCCTGGAATCCTTGTCTCCTCTTTCAAATATTGGGCTCAGGTATTTTCTGTTCCTTATCAACCTCTTCTTAACTCATCTTACTCTACTTTTTATAACTTTTTTGTTTTCTTTCTGGACACTATTACCTTCTCTATTCTAAATTTCTGGGAACATTTTTGGGGAAGAGAATTCAATCTAAATGAACAAATTCTTTAGGGTCCAAGAAAATTTAAATAAAATTAAATTCTCTTTCCTCTCTTTTGATTTTGTAGGCTAATTTTAGGGAAGAAAGTTCAAACTGAACTAAATTTTCTTCTATTTCTCTCTCTTTTTCGGAAATAACATTTTTTTCTTCTTACTCTCTTTTTTTATTCATTTTCATGGAATTTTATTTTTATCTTTCTTCCCTGTTTAGTCAAACTGTGGTTTCTTCCTCCCCCCCATGTTTCCCCTCCTCTCCCTTTAGGGAGGGGGACGGGGGTAAGAATATACATATCTGCCAACACCCCACACCAAATGTATTGTCATTTAAAATTGTCGGCCCAAAGATTTTTTTAAAAGGCTTTGTTTTATTTCATACTAGCTTGGGAACCCAGATTTGCCTGTTTTCTCTATAAAAGTTGACAAGCTAAAATTATATTTTGTTATCCAAACAAAGAACTTTCCTGTGGTTCTATCGAGTTCTCCAATCAAAGTTTGGGGCAAATCGGTCAAGGGGTTTATGAGTTATGATTGGACTTGACTTGCAAACAAACTTTTTATGTAAAGATAAAGGAATATGATTTTTAAGAATTGACCCCCTCCCCCTCCAAAAAAAAAATATTTTTGATACTCTGAGGACAAACCATGAAAAATTGGATATCAGATAGACTTCATTCTTTTTGAAACTTTTCATCCAAAGATTCAATAAATTTAATTCACCAAATAAGCAATAGCACACATGCAAAAACATACCTAACATCGGGGAGGAAAGAATTTGCAAGAAAATTAACAATCCTGAAATTTTGATTTCTTTTAAAATCCAGGAAAGATCTGTTTCTAAATTTGAGCAGTATATTGGAGAAGGACGGAGATCTAGCAGTGACCATAGTAGCTGAACTAGGAGACGAGCAATACCAGGTACTGTACTGTACTGTAATGTTATGTAACGTACTGTACTGTACTGTAATGTAATGTAACGTACTGTAATATACTGTAACGTACTGTAATATACTGTATTGTACTGTACTGTAATGTAATGTAATGTAACGTACTGTAATGTAATGTAATGTAACGTACTGTAATATACTGTAACGTACTGTACTGTACTGTACTTTACTGTACTGTACTGTAATGTAACGTACTGTACTGTAACGTATCGTAAGGTAACGTAACGTACTGTAATGTAATGTAACGTACTGTACTGTACTGTACCGTACGGTACTGTACTGTACTGTACTGTACTGTAATGTACTGTAATGTACTGTAATGTAGAGTAGCTTACTGTACTGTTAAATTCTGTAATGTACTCTACTGTACTGTATTAAAATCGTTTAAAGTTTCTTAGATTTGATTCTTAATGCTAAATATTTTTCTCGTTTTGCAGGAATTTTGTTCTGTTCTGAATTGTCCCGCGCCCATCATACGTGAAAAAGTTCCTGAAATGGTGATCAGCTATCACCGGATCAGGTATATTACATTATTTCTTACAATTTTGAAAATGCCTAGTTTGAAATTTTAATGGATGCCCCATGCAATTTAGACCAGACAAAGTTAAGTTTTTAGAGTACGTTGTGAATCTGAAATGCCACCCCAAAAGTAAAGAGTCGCTTGAAAGTACAACTCCAGTCCCTTCAGTTTAAATTACTAATTGCAGGTCCATGATTGTGTCAGATCTTATGTCCAAGCTCAGTGAACTCAAGGTATGTTTTAATAAGGAAGGCACCCAATGTAAAAAATTGCATCAATTCCCATCTTTTAACCTTTCACTTAGCTTTAATTTTATCTTTTTACTCCCTATCTGAGAATCCTAGGGATTTGGTTTTTCAAAACTTTTATTTATTTAAGAGAGAGGGGAAAGGGGTGAAAAATATCATCTTAACTTAAAAAGATTTTTGCCACCTCGAAAAATTTATTTACCCTTTTATTTCCTCCGACTCTGCAGGGGGGGGGGTATTCTTAAAATAGGAAAAATGTTTCTCAATAAGGCATTTCCCTGTATCTTTGACATAGGACTGATATGTAAGAAACTTGAGAAAAAGTTATTTTGAAAAATTAATAAAAACAGTCCTGAAGGCAGTCTTGGGGTTCTGCATTTCCCTATCTGGATTTGATTTGATTTGATTTGATTTGATTTGATTTGATTTGATTTGATTTGATTTGATTTGATTTGATTTGATTTGATTTGATTTGATTTGATTTGATTTGATTTGATTTGATTTGATTTGATTTGATTTGATTTGATTTGATTTGATTTGATTTGATTTGATTTGATTTGATTTGATTTGATTTGATTTGATTTGATTTGATTTGATTTGATTTGATTTGATTTGATTTGATTTGATTTGATTTGATTTGATTTGATTTGATTTGATTTGATTTGATTTGATTTGATTTGATTTGATTNAGGGCCCCCCCCCCCTACATCAAATGTGCCAACTCCACCATCCCCTTTGTTTAAGGGTCGTTAGACGTTACTTCAATTAACATTCCATTAATAACGAGGCTTAACCGATTCATAATCCTTTAAACTGTTTTCTGAACCAAAATTTAAAAACATCCTTGTTTTTCTAGCTAAAAAATTGATACTTTCAAGTTGCTGTTTGTTTCTAAATGGGCTTGTGGACTTTTTTCTGCCTCCTCCCCTTTCTTGTCTTTTTGTTCACTTTACAAACTTTCTAAATTTCAATTCTTAATTGTTATGTTTTTATCAAATTTGTTTATAATAACCAAAGAAAGAATTTGTTTGTGTGTAGAACCAGTTTTGTCTGGATTTTATGGGGGATCTTGCTCTACTTCTAGCCCGAAAAGGTATGAAACTTGGAAATGGACTTTTCCAGATTTAAAATGGGATGATTGTATAGGTATAGAGGAATACTTAGAATTTGTTGCATACTTTTCCTTCATATTTTTAGTGTTAATAAATTTATTTAATTTACGCAACGTAATCATAACTTGAATAAAGGAAGTCTTCGGTTTTTTGTTCAGGGTTAAACTCCTACGATCAATTAGAACGCAATATAATTTTTTAATTTGGAGGGAAAATTTGGAGGGAGAATCCCCCATTTTGGACCGAGTCTAACCTATCAATTTAAAGCTTGGAGAAATCCCGATTTACCTGGAAATTTTGTTTAGGGATTTCCTTCTATCCAGAGCATCCTTTCTTCACCAAGAAACATGGAACTAATTCTGAACATACTCCGACTACTGGGACTAGGGTTCCAACAACCACAGCTGCTGCTAAAGCTACTCCTTCCAGAAGGATCCAAATCCAACCTGTAGAAACAGAAGAGGACGTAGACAATCCGGATGCTGTAAATCCAACTCAAGATAATACAGATCCTTTAAATATTGAAATAACCCCCCAGACTCTAGTAAATGATTCAAGAATCTGTGAAACACCTCTTGGAAGATCCAAGATTACCGAAGAAGTTGTAAATATAAGTGAAGATGTCTCTTCTGGGAATCTTGATGATGATCGGGAAGAAACCAACGACGTGGAGATGTTTGACTCTTATGTATCTGAAGGAGATGATGATCCTATCCGACCTGATACCCCTGAACCTGAGGATGACAAAGATGACGTAGAAATGTTTGACTCCACTGTGAATGAAGAAGATGATACTCCTGAACCTGAAGATGATAATTCTGTGAAAATTATCTCTGAAAATGATCAGATAGAAGACAACAATGTCGGTGAGATGTTTGAAGTACACAATGATAATCCTGAACCGGAATTAGATCCGCTTGAACTTGATCCTGATCTGGAACTAGAACAGAAGATAAACATTTCCGAAGAGAAACTTGAGGAAAGGAATATCTTTTCTGAGAATGAGGTATCAGCCACTTCTCCCAGGAAAAGCAATAGAAACAGAGGTAAAACCTTAAAATAAGAAAATAAAATTTCATCAATAACTTTATAAATTGTCTAAAAGAATGGATGAGATATCCATGATTTCTCCTTGATAATTGATTATTTCCAATGGAGGGAAATCATGCGAATTAAAGACCTTATAAGCTAGAAAAACGGCGGCATCCTCCACGTTTTTGATGAGACAAATGTTTGAAGTGTACTGTTGTATCTATATAATACAACGAGGACAATCTCAAACTATTTTATTGTTTGATTTACAAATCAATTATCATTCAATAAATCGAATTATTGAATTGATCTATTTGATTAAGGTGTATGTGTGTCATATGCCGAGATAGAAAATCCTGAAATTATAGAACACAAGAAGGATAAGTTTTTAAACCAAACCAAAGGTAAGACATTTATTACAGGGTGCTTAATTTCATTTTGATACGGATCCAGATCCTTGATCACCCCTGCCTGAATAAAATGTATCCAGGTCATGAACATTTCTTTGAGATTTACAGATTTTTTTTACGCTCATACATAATTAACGATTAAGCGATAAAGAAATTTTAATAAACTCTTTTTTTAAGATAAGTCTTGGGTTTTAAAGCAGAAAATTTCTTTTTACAGTTTTTGGTTGATATTTTGTTCCTTGCCGTGGATCCGCATAATTTAATAGATCCGGATCCTAAGCAATTATTTATTCATTTGTACATTTGTAAACTTATTTACATATTGACTTATTCGTAGATTTGTTTCTTTATTTTAGGTTCATTTCTTAACATTTTATCATGGTTTATTGGTTGACTTGGTTAAATGTTTAATTGTTCCATCCATTGTCCATGTGTTCATTTTTTCAATTCTCCATGTGTTCATTTGTTCAATTCTCTATATGCTCATGTGTTCAATTGTTCATGTGTTCATTTGTTCAATTGTCCATGTGTTCATGTGTTCATGTGTTCAATTGTCCATTTGTTCAATTCTCCATGTGCTCATTTGTTCAATTATTGATATGCTCATGTGTTTAATTGTTCATGTGTTCATTTCATACAGGGTGTCTATTAAAAAATCGTTATTGTTGTCAGTGCCTCAATTTTAACAGATGTTCTTTTTATTTTTATTTTTTAGATAAAGGATATATTCGTAAGATAAAAAAGAAGATACTGTTGCTTTTCTACAATTCTAACGATTTTCTTATCTAAGAAACCACATTTGAATTGTAAATAATCAAATTTCAGCTTGAAAAACTAAAATATCCGATTATTCCTAAATCAGACTAAGTATTAAAGAGGATTGTTGTGAATCATGTATTCCAATCTGTGTCCGAATTTAATGAATTTGAGCCGCGTCTTAAATCCTCCAAAAACCGGTTTCAATTGAGCGCCGGCTTAAATCTTGAAACATTGAATACAATTTTAAGTGAAACCAACCATATTTGAGCCGCGCGCTTGAATTCTTTAAATTCGGCCTCTGTTAATGGAATTCAGCCTCATAAACTTTTATCTTCTACTTAAGTAAAAACAAATGGTTTGAAGAAAAAAAATTATGATTATTTTATTTTTAGGGAAAAGATCCATCAGTCAGCCATTGCAAGTTGAAGAGTCCCTTAACAATATTGATTACGATGATATTATTCAGGTAAAGATTTTAGTTTTTAATTATTTTGGTTAATTTTTGTCATTTACTTTCTCTCAGGATCAACATTTGGCCTAATGTGAAAAAATAAAAAATAAATTCAAAACTGTTAATTCCAAACATTTGCGGACTTGAAACTCCGACCCACTAAAGAGCCCGTTCTCTTCATAGAAAATGATCGTGTAGTTCACGTACTTTGGGGGACGATATGTTGGCCGCTAGATGTCTCATTCTAAATTCTTATCTGATAGATAGATATTTCTCCGTACATTTGACGACCAATATAGGAAACGTCAAGTTGTCGACCAATGTAGTTTATGGAAGGAACGGCCTCTGGAGTCTTAGAGTCTTAGGCCATCCCTGCAACTTGTGATTTGATTTGATTTGATTTGATTTGATTTGATTTGATTTGATTTGATTTGATTTGATTTGATTTGATTTGATTTGATTTGATTTGATTTGATTTGAAATTTCGACCCTAACAGAAATATATGAAAAGAAATCCATCATAAACAAGCGTGCTAAAACGGTTTTTTTTTAGGATTAAAATAATGCAAAGTTCAATAAAAGCAAACTTTTGAATGTTGAAAGTTTATTGAAAGTTTTGAATAATAACGATGAACATAGCTGGGTTAATTGTCAGTCTTTGCTTGATCTGGGTGAATAAATAAGTGATACCAGAAAATTGTGGAAGAAAACGACTTTTACGCAACCCTAAAGTATAATTGACGTTTTTTGAAAGCAAATAGTTTTACTAGTAGCTTACAAAACACAAAGTTAAATTGGTCAATGTACACTGAACAATTGGACGTTTTTTCAAAGCAAATAGTTTTACTAGTAGCTCACAAAACACAGAAAGTGAAATTGGTTAATGTACACTGAAACTCGGTAGAATCACGGGAATGTTCAAACTTGTTATTTAATTCAAATGAACAGTTTTCCAAGCTGCTGGGGAATTTTATGGTAATATGAAAATGGCCTCTTATCTTTGAGCGATAAGATTGACTTGATTGTACCTAGTTAATAAAATTTGGGTATCGTGTGTTTTAGTTAAATAGATGAACAATCCCTTTCAAGAGACTTTAAGCGTAATTTTAAGTGTTTACTCCATGCAAAGATGGCAATGCCGACAACGGTACTATTAAAACCTTAATCTGATCATAAATGTGGAAGATAACGTCGTTTTTCTGACTCAAATTGCGTATTTCTGCGAATTTCTTCATTGTTTATTACAGATAAGAAATGCGCAAGTGCACTTTCGCAGAGGAAAATAAACGGTTTCAAGAAACAAAAACATTGATATATAGTTCTTTGATTGATGGGTTGTCTCCTAATGATAATGATATTTATGCGTGATCAGAGAAAGGTTTTAAGTTGTAAATCGTGAATTGCCATCTTTGCATAAAGGTTCACTCAAAACTACGCTTACAGTCCCTTTAATGAAGAAATCTGAATTTTTAATCATATTTTTATTTCACTTTAGGTCCGGGATCACAAAAGAGTCCAAGAAGTGGAAAAGTAAGATTAAATCGTACAAACAATTTTTAAATAAAAAAAAAAACTATTTTTGAAATGATTGCTTGAGAGAAAAAATGTTTCAGGTCAATTTGCTGGTTTGTGATCTATCGGAGCTGCAGTTTACAATTCCAGACAATATTTTGGTAAACATATTTTTGTAAAGGACTGTTAACGCAAATTCAAGTTAAACTCCAATTACATCAGTATCCGTATAACATTCTTTAATAATCTTTTTTCCGTCCTGAAAGTGTTGAATTTTACCAATTTTCTTCTTTGACTTTGCATCATTAATCCACAAAACAATTTTACAATTTTGTGCTCACTTAAATTACCTCAACAGTCCCTTTAAATAATGCATGGTTTGATTTTTAAATTCTAATGTTAATGGTTTATTCTTTTGTGTTTTAAAATTTTTGTTCAAGACTTTTAACAGCGCTTTTTTATTTTTTATCCTTTTGCTTTATATAATGTAAAGTTTAAAGTCATGGGACTCTAATTTTTCCCTTCTAGTCTCTATATATATATATATATAAATGTTCGTGAGTGTCGCACAAAAATGAGTCAACAATTACTATTTAAATTTGAATTCTTTTTTTAACAATTTATTATTTTTGAATTTTTAATCTTATAAATTGGATACAGTTTATACAGAGAAATTCTGATTAGATTCTGATTTGAATTCTAGAACCGATTGAAGAAGAGTAAATACTTCCTGGAGAAACCAGGGCAGTACAAGATCCTCCAGCCTTGGAAAGCAGACAAATTCACTCAGGAAAATATTCACATTTATTATCCAAATGTTTGGTTTTTTATTTAAGATTTTTGTCCACAAAATTTATTCGGAACAGAACGAATGAATTATAGTATGAAAGACGTGAATAATAAAAGATAATTAAATTTTTTTTCTGTGTCAAAAATCACCTATGAAAAAGCAATGATACCCCCGTAGAGACGAATAATTAAGAATATTAATTAATTAGATTGATCCTAACCTACCCCAAGGATTCAAGGTCAGTTATTTATCTTTTTTTTTAAGAATTTCTAATAATTTTGAAATTATGTTAATTACCTTATAAAGCAGAAAATACGACGCTGTATTTGAATAATTTATAGTTTATATGGATAAAAATTTTTTTTGAAATTTCTTGATTTTAATTGGATTTCGGAGACATCTCCTTTAACGGATTGTAGGAGCCATTCTTGATCAAGTCAGCCACCCTCTGGAAGTCAATGTCATTGATTTTCTCAAAATTTTGCACACAGCTAGCATATTATGAGAAAATGCATAGAAGAACCAACGGTTGTGGCTCATGGCTGCCGGAAGACAAAAAAGTTAACATGTGGCATGGAATGGAAAATGATTGTGGCTCAATGCCAATGATATTCTGTTTTCTAGTTATGGGCCCGGACGAGAAAAAATAAAATGCACACCGATCGAGAATATATGACTCCAGATAGAACTATCTCCTTCAGATCTAAAACTGCTTGCATTGAATATATCAAATTACTAGGAAACTGTCAATAATCAAAACAATGAAAACGGACGTCAAAACTTTTGTGTGAAATTGCACTTATCTTCTTCAACCGATCTTGATATTCTCTGTGACAACTTTTGATTTTAGAGACAAGTTCTTTATTCATGCAGGGGTTTATATAATTCCATTAATTCCATTTCTAAACCCAATCGGGGGTTGAAAATACACTTTCTGTGTCTTTTTTTAACTTTGGCAAGTGATTTGTGCATGTTTATTACACTTCAGAAATGTGTACTGCATTTGGGGTGTTTAAAGAAATAAATGTTTGTATGCAGAAAAATAATCAACCCCTTGTAGTATACATTCTTGACATCATACTTCCAATTGTTTACAATAGCAACATGGTTAATTTCTAAGGCTAATATCAATCAATCAATTAACATTTACAGCATGTCCAAACTAAAGGAGAAATATATAAGAAACAATCTTAAATAAATGACAATTGACAATGATGTCCTCAGATAACCTTGAGTTACCCTCAAATCCTCAAGTTGTAGAATCACTAATATCTGGACGCAGTCCTCCCCCAGAAGGTATGGAACTTGGGTGTTTTATATTTTCAAGAATACCCCCACCTCCCCTTGGGGAAAAATAATTTAATTAAAACATCATAAGGCAAGATTTTCAAACTTCTATCCATGATTTTCCATACAGATTATATATAATATAATCAGATTTAGCAATGCTCATTGCAAATACCCCCCTTTGAAAATATTCTGCTTTGATAGAAAGGTTTATGAGTTTTCACCTGTGAAAGAGTTATAGCTAGAAAGATTAATCTTTGACTAAACCAATCAAATTCTTTTCCCGTAGAATTTTTTTTGCTTTCAACCTGTAAAGTTTATAATGGACAATGGCCCAGTGGTTTTTTTTTAAATAGAAAAGTTCTTGAAGAAATGTAGCCCTAATAAATGACCCCAGGCATATCCTAGAATTCTAACCCTTTTTTGATTGTAAAAAATCCTTGGGTGTTAAATTTGTAACATTTGAGAATTTTTTTGTAGAGTAGTTCAAATTTAATAAATGCCTTAATGATTCCAAAAAAGAACCCATGAATGAAGATTATTGAACCCCATGTTTGAACTCCTTCCTTCCTAGATTTAAAAGCAATATGAGCTAAAGAGACTTTTTTTTAGAGACACTTGTAAAAGCTTCTACTTCACGAACCTCTTACCAAAGCAAGTGGCCGAATTTAGGCCCAACGCTAAAAGTCATGTCTGGAACCAAACCAGCAAATCCTGGAGGCCTTATTTGCAAGCCATTGTCAGCACTGAAGGATGAAGAACCCCTACCTGAAGATCAAATTAAGAACCTTTTTGAAACTCATTCAAACTTACTGAAAACAACCTTGGGTCCAGATGTATATGAGCGCATAAGGATTCAAGTAGGCCTGGTTAAAAGGAATATACTGTCTAAGAATACAAAGCTAAAATTGTCATTGACTTTAGCAAATATAACCCAACACTTGGATTCAAATATCCTGGTCTATTCGCCAATAACAAATCCTTCCCTTGAAATTACAAAATTTTTAAACCTGTACTTGTTGGCTAATAAAACTGAACCAAATAATCCTGATGTTAGGGCAATACAAATTCTCCTCCATGTTTCCAAAAAAGAACTTTATGTGACTAAGGATATTCCAAAGTTCTTGATGATCTACCACAGATTAAGATCAAAGATATTCATCCCAATCCTTGAGCGGATTGAACTGCTGAAGGCTGAATTTTGCAACCCAAACCATGTTCACATCTTTTCCGTTCCAAAGGAATTACGTGCACATAAATATCTTTGGTCTTTGGCCCCTCTATTAAGACACGAGCTGTTGATGAAGTTAGAGGAGGAGTTTGATTTTGAGTTTTTGTATTTGTTGGAAAAGAAGATGCCACAGGCACCTGTTCAATGTCCTGAGTCCCTAGTTCAATGTTCTGTGGCCCCAGCTCAATGTCCTGTGATATCAGTTCAACGTCCTGTGGCACCAGTTCAATTTCCTGAGACATCAGCTCCAAACCCTGAGATGCCAGTTCAAACTTTTGGATGTCCCTCCTGTTTGGTTCCCTGTGAGAACCTTACAGTACTTGTCCATCATTTTGCATCAAAGCACTTCCATAAAAGATTCCTCAAGGTGGTCAGCAGCACAAATTGTAATTTATGCAATGCATCTTTTGCTGTAAAGGAAGATGTTTTTAAACATGTTGCATTAATCCATGGTAGGATAACCATTGACTATGTGGTTTGGAGCTGCAATTTGTGCAGCTTCAAGCACAAGGAGAGACAGAGTCTAATTAACCACTTTACTGATAAACATGCCTTACAAATGTCTGAGATATCCTCACAGTTAAAGCCTGTAAGTCTGAATCATTTGCCCTGTCATGTATCTGATTGTGCTCAAGTTCACAACTTTCAAGATATGAAGAGTCATGTTTTTTCTGCTCATGCCAAAGATCAGATTACTTCAGCCTGCCGACTACTTATAACGGAGTCTAAAATTCAGAAAAGGTGTATCTACTGCAGTTTATCTTTTGTTTCTGGAAACAAGATTCATGACGATTCATTTATCACCTATCACTATGCAATTCAACACAGCATGATTTTAAACTATATGGGGCTCAATAAAGAGTGCTCCCTTCGAGTAGTCTTCAATAAGGATATTCCTTCAAGTCCAGCTCCTGTAAACTTAGTTGATGAGGAAGATGACAGATCTCCAATAGCAGAGGATTCACTTACTGAAATGAATCATGGTCATGGTAGAGTGATAAATTCCAGAGCAGCTACCCAAGGAAATTCAATGAATCATTCACAAGGAAGATCAAAGCAAGACGGAGAAAATTCCCTTGAGTACTGTAGCATTTGCAAGAAGTATCTCATCAAGAAGAATTTTTTACAGCATGTGGTGACAACTCATTATGCGAACAAAATTGCCAAAGAGCTCAAAGAACATGGGTGTAAGCCTAGTGATAAAAAATGTTCATTGTGTAAGGCTAAGTTTACCTGTGGTTTGGAATTCCAAACTCACTTTGCTCTTACACATTCATCCAAGTTTGCAAGTTTTCAAGCAATGTCAGAAGATATTAAGAAAGAGGTGGTTGAAAATCAGAACAGTGAAGATTTAGATCAAACTTTGCAGGAGCAAAGATCAGAAAATGATGATTTAGTGGAGATTATTGACACTAAGCCAACAGTTCTACAAGAAACGCATTGGGTTCAAGAGTTTAAAAGTTTTTGTCAAGGAAAGGCAGTTGCTGTCGGGTCGGGCAATATGAACTTTACAATAATTAACCAGGTCATGTTAGAAAGTTTTCTTGAGAAGGTAACAACAATTCCTGAAAATATATCAAAGGTGGACATCATAGTGAATGAGTTGGAAGCCATCTCTTCTATTTCTCTAGCTAAACTTGAAACAGTTACTAGACACTCTCTGCTAAAGGATTACATGGAGAAGTGTGCCCAAGTATCAAGCACCATCTACAAGATTCCACCCATGCATGTGGTCATATTTCTCTCCCAGCTTATGGTAAAGCCAAATGTAGGAAATGATGACATATTCTGGCTGATGAAGAGAATAAATGCAATACACGATCCTATTGATGGAAGTCCAATTGGAATGGATAAGAAGATATTTGACTTTTTCAAAGCCATTGGATTTTCCAGTTCCTATGAAATGTTTAAAATGTTCATGCAAAAATCAGTACCTGAGTCTCAAAGTGATATTTCTTGTGATCAGTGCAACAGGCAGTTTACTACCATGAAAGCCTTGAAAGTACACAAGTTCAGACAACACTCCAGTCCAGGGAAGAAATCGATCCCAAGTGTTGCCACACCTGGTTCATCCAAGAGAACAATCCCAATGGTTTCCAGTACACCTGGTTCATCCAAGAAGCCTATCCCTAGTGTTTCCAACACACCTGGTTCGTCTAAGAAGCCTATCCCTAGTGTTTCCAGTACACCTGGTTCATCCAAGAAGCCTATCCCTAGTGTTTCCAGTACACCTGGTTCGTCTAAGAAGCCTATCCCTAGTGTTTCCAGTACACCTGGTTCATCCAAAAAGCCTATCCATAGTGTTTCCAGCACACCTGGTTCGTCTAAGAAGACAATCCCAAATGTTTCCAGTACACCTGGTTCGTCTAAGAAGGCAATCCAAAATGTTTCCAGTACACCTGGTTCGTCTAAGAAGGCAATCCAAAATGTTTCCAGTACACCTGGTTCATCAAAGAAGGCTATCACAAATGCTTCCAATACACCTGGTTCATCAAAGAAGGCTATCACAAATGTTTCCAATACACCTGGTTCGTCTAAGAAGCCATGTCCAAGTGTTCCCTGTTCACCTAATACTGTTCAACTCAGCAGTAATGGAGTTAAACATCCTGGTGCCATCCCTAACTTAGGAAACTTTGGATGTACTGTATGTGGCACGTTTTATAACAACCAGAGTAGTCTGAACAAACAGATAAATACGTTAGATCACCGCATAGCTGCTAAGTTTCCCACAAATCCAGCTGAAACTGAAGGTAGATATTTTATTCGTTTTTAAAATAGAAAAATTTAAAATTTCAAACTTTCACAATGCAAAGAAAGTCTTGGAATGTTTACATTTTTATCAGTATAATATATATATATACTATATAGGTATTATTGAAGCTGGTGATGTAAATATAAATATTTAGGTTTAAGTGAAGTAAATAAAGTTGAGGCGGCATATACACATTTCTGTGAAAATTGTGAAGGTATATAACATATTTTTATTACTTAAAATATAGAGTTAGTTTTTTAATGTTAGTTGCACGGGAAGAGGGAGGGAAGGAACTCCCCCCCCCCCCGCACAGCTTCCGAATCTCATTTTACATATATTTGCGGCAGTGCGTGTTCCCATAGGGCTTCCAAACCTCCCCCAAACAGTCTTCCAGGAATAATCTTCCATTTATAATCTTTAATTTCTACTTAAAACGGGTTTAATTCGATTATTTAAGCACGGTAGTCCATCTATAGTATTCTTAACATTTTCGTAATATATCAACTAAAACTTTGTAGATTTTGGTTGATATCCTGCCCCCCCTCCCAGTTGTATAAATTTACTTCTGTGATTGGTTAGGTTTTCGCAGTCTCGGCTCTGATTGCTTTCAGAATCAGTTACGTCATAGCTTAAACCTAACTGCAGACGAAATTAGTGAACTATTTATATTAAGTTAGTTTACCTGCTAAACAACATTCAAAGGCAAAGAAAATGTAATTAGCTTTCCACCTATATGTATTTCAAATCTGTAGTGCTTGTGAAAAAAGCGCCAATAGTTTTAAAATCATTAGGTTATAAGTGACATAACAGAGTTTTGTTTTCGTAAAATATCTAGAAAGAAAATTTAAAAATTTAAGAATTAACATTTATGAAGAATATTTTTTATTTGTCTACCTTTTAGTAAAAGCTATTCATTCTTTTATTGTAAAAAAGAAAAGAAAATTTAATGAAAATCTTAAGGATACTATATATATGGAATACCATGCTCAAATAGGTAAAATGAAGTTCTGAAGTTGTGCGGGGGAGTTTGCCTTCCCTCCCTCGTGGGAGAGGGGGGGGGGGTTTAAAACGCAATACAAACAAACCTAAAAAAATAAACTATGAAAGGTTCTAATATATAAAGTGAATCCGCATCTGAAGAGAAGGATATCCCTCGTGCCTCTTATCTGTAAAACAATGGAAAAGAATCAATTTCTATCAATCTCACACTATGATTTTGCAATTGAAAATAATTAATTTTTCTGAAGATAAATAACAACATTTTAATCATCCTTGATCAGATAAAATTTTTAATGTCACATTGTGAATCGGAAATGCCACTTTTAACAAATGGTCACGTTAAATTTGATAGAATATCCTTTTAATGTTTAGACTGTGAGGATGGGTGCATCCATATCACTCACCCTGTTTATCCGGTAAACAGAGACAAACATACAGCGTATACAGGGCACACTAAATACAGGTTAGTTGGTGTTCTAGGGGGTTTAACATCCATCCACCCTTCTTTAGGATGTTAAGTGATGCCCCTTTTGAGAGGATAAAGCTTTTAATGGTTCAGTGGATTTTTGTGGCGATCGTTTTTCATGATGAAAATTCATACAGAAATCTTTCTAGATTTAAAACAACGCGGAAAATTAAATTTGATTATTTTCTGGTTTGAACGCAGACAAGATGAATAAAGTTTGTATCTGTTTTTCATTTTTAAAAGAGTAGCAACAAATGTGTTAATCATCTATAAACAACAAATTTTGCATCAAATGCTCTCTGACTTTGATATAAAAAAGCATACATATTTATAGGATTTCAAAGCTTTTTTGAAGTAAAATTCCATTCGAATTTGAATTTATTTGAAATAATATGTAATCGCAATGAAAAAAAAACTTTCTGTTTTTTAATGGTGTCTCGTAATTGACTGCGAATGGAAGGTATTAAATTTACGATACTTCCATTTTTACGATCCTTCCATTAAGGGGAAAATCCGGCAATCAGTGCTTAGGATCCATTTAATTTTGATGCGGATCCGGATCCTGGATCCGCACTGGAAAAAAATGGATCCGGATTGAGGTTATTTCTTTAAAATTTACTGAAATTATTTTTACAAAGAAGAATTTTCAAATTTTTTTCATTTTTTTATGCTAGAACTTGATGAACTATTCATAAATCAGGAAATTTTTATAATCTCTCTTTTTTCATTAGTTCAGATTTGGGTTTTAAGAGAAAATAATTTTTTTTTTCAGTTTTTTGTTGATATTTTGCCCCTTGGATCCGGATCCGGATCAAGGAAGCCAAAATCTTGCGGATCCAGATCCTAAGCACTGCCGACAATGGTTAAGATTGTGTCCTGTTCAATGAACCGATCTGGCTCAACTTGTGTGTGCCAACTGAATTGTCCTCACCTCTGGGAAGGTCGAAAATGAACCCAAAAAAAATCCCGGTAGAAAGTGTCAACAATAGTAAACAAAAAACAGAAAAATCTGTGCAAAGTCTAGTATATATCAGAAACTAAAGCTTGTATATAATTATAAACCTATAATTTAGGGAATTGAAGGAAGAATGTATCCTGTTCTCCCCAAACTAAAGCTTGTATATAATTTTAAACCTGTAATTTAGGGAAATGAAGGATAACATGCACCTGTTTCTGAAGAATGTAACCTGTTCTCCCCAAACGCATTCTCAACTGTTGAAAGATCAGCATTCACCGCCATCTCAGGTAGTTTCTTAGAGCCCGCGATTTAAAAGCTTCAGCTCGAGTCTTAATTCCTTTGGCCCAGTTCTAGGTTTAAGGCTCAATCTTAGACCCAGCTTACGTTATCGACAGCTGAAAGCTCTTAGACCCAACTGAAGGAATTAGGCCCAATGAAAATAAAACCGACCTTGGGGGAAGGGTGGGGGGTAGTTCTTCTTCTAAAAGTATACCCCTGCAGTCTCACTTTAATATAATCTTTGTGACTATTTGTTTTCTTTATTTATAATTTTATGAAGCTTTTTAGGGTATTAATATATCATGAAGCGAAAAGGGATATGATGAAAAATTATGAAGGTTTTAGGGGTGTAATAGTAAATTATTAAGTTTTTAGGAATACTAATGATATATGCTGAGAGGTGAAGGGGTATACTGACTAGTTATGTATCCTGAAGGTTTTATCGGTATTTTTTTAGGATACATTATGAAGATATTAGGAGTAATAATAACGGGTGTATTGTTATGATAATAATAATAAAGGTGTCAAGGGCATATTGAGGTTTTTAGAGACTAGCCAATTCTGACATTAATTTTCGTTGTCTTTACATTATCTTTGGATCATTTAAAGTCATAGCTTGATTCTAACAGTCGTCTTTCTTTTCCATAGTTTGGTCTTTTATTTTGACAGGGGCTAATTCCTGACTTCTATGGAATGGTGTTTTTTTTTCTGTTTGTTTGCTTAGGGAAATTATGATAAATTTTGTAGGTCAAAGAACACCAAGTTCTGAGATTGGGTGTACTAGTCAATGAAACTCTGGAAGAAGAAAGAGTAGAAGATGAAGAAGAGGAAGATGAGGAAGATCTAAGGAAACGGAAGAAGATTAAATTAAGTGAATCTTTGTCTGAGGTAAATCATCGAGATAATTCATTCATTGATTTATGCGTAACATATCGGGATTAAAATGATATCCCATTCTTAAGTTTTCAACTCAGAACAGATCTGAGAACTGTAGAATTACCAATTATTGATCTAGATATCCGCTGGGACACTCAAAATTTGAGGATCTATAAAAAATTATACCGTTCCATATCTTCATTTTAGTTATTCCTCCCATGATCAAAGCTCACTTCAACCCCTGGCTGGGTATAATTACCATGCGGGATATCATAAACAGATCACATTAATCTGCAGATTAACAAAAGACCGAGATTAAGCATTGATCTCGATATCCACAAAACAAGAGTTCCCACCTTCGGTAAATTTTACCGATGTCATAAAGTATTGAGATTCCTGGTTGAAAGCCAATGCTTTGCTGTATATTTTGTGAAACATTTTGCTTCTTAGATCCGGATATTTTTTTTGGATCCAGATTTAGGGAGATTCAAGAATCCCTTTTTTACATAAGAGGATTTAAGGCATTTATGTAGATCCACAAAAATTTTGTGAGTTGTTAACTCTTGTGTAATCAAACCAAACTGTAAAGGAAGTGACTGGCCTAAGTGAATTAATCCTATTTATTCACGTTGGTGACTAGCTAGATATGATAGTTGAACTGAGAGTGCAGTATTATAGAGAAAAATATCAGGATTCATTTGATACCTATAATACTGAACTCACAGTTTAACTACAGTTAAATCCTAAATGAGCCATACATCGAAAGAATTTATTAAATGTCGTCTTGACAATTTTTTTAATGAGTTTTATACTATTGTACATAAATCTCAGTATTTGCGAAAATAGATTAAAAGCCATGAATATGCGGGAACAGTTCTTAAGAGCTCCATATAATCATTTAATTAAAAAACTAAATATCTGCAGCATTCCATTATCGGAAAATGAAGAGAATGACAGTTGATGAATTCTTTCGATGTATGGCTTATTTAGGGTTTAACTGAACCAGAAATAAAAAGTAAACAATTACATTTTTTATATTCTTCCTCGGAAGCCTTAAAAATTGTCACAGACATAACCGCCGAGAATTTTTAAATGGACGACCATGGCCGGGTAGTTTTTTTCATTAACAACAAGAATTTTATTATTACACGGCTTGGTATTCAGAGAGGTGTAGGAAGGTCTGGATTTATGTAATAATCTTTTACAATAAAGCTGGTTCCAGAATTGTCCTTAATACGCCACAGTACATTCGTCGTCGTATATATCAATATAATAAAGACTACTTTCAATTTCAACTTTTACCAAGCTTTTAAACAGCATGGATACACATTAACAAGTAAACAAAGAGAAACTGTCAATGAACTTGTAAATTGAAAAAAGCTTGTTAGAAATCAAAATTTAAAATATAAAAGTCGTCTTCATTGTATTGATATAAAAGCCGACAACTGTATTCCCTTTTTGGTTTCGACAAACTTTATATTTATTGAGGCGAGTAATTAAAACAATTTTGATACTGATGGTAGCTATTAGTTAAGATAGAAAAATATTGTGTTTACTGTTTATGGTTGCTCATTTTTCAATTCCCAATTTTCGTCTATTTTAGATCGTGAAATAGTTGACTGTCTGTATTATTTGTAATTGTCATTTAATTTTTTACTTTGATTACTCATTAAATATCTCGCAATTAGAAATATAATGTTTTTTAGATCGGTGTCGGGTATTAAACTTGAAGATACTCGGAGCCTCTTCTGCAGACACAGAACAAGTTCGCAGATATCGGAGGAACATACAATATTAGGAGGTTTCGGAAGAACCGATAATGTCCGATCGGAGGAACAGATATCTTTCCGGGGGTATCGGTGGCCTTTATATAGTAAATAAATCGTAAATTTGTCGGAGGAAAATTATCTTGAAATTCAGTTCTATCTCTCTGATAGACATGAAACAGTGTTAAAATATTTTATATGTCATAGTTGAAAATTCAAGTGTAATGGCGGAAACCATGGTCTAAGAAATTAGAGAAGTATTATTTTTTTATTCAAACTTCCTTTGATAAACAACCTCTGTTGTGTAATTTTAACTCGCATTTATTTGAAAATGTCAACATTGTTAAAACGACACTTTGACTGCTAAAATAAAAATTTTCATTAAAAATCTTTTATTTCATTTTGATATTCTGAACATATTTTAAGGTATAAAAAAGGCAGCAGGGGTCTATATAGTTTATAATAACAACAAATAGTATTTTTTTATTAAAGGGATTGTAAGAGTAACTTTAAGTGACCCATGTTAAGAGTGCAATGCCCGATTCACAACGGTACTCCTTTAAGCTTAGTCTGCTCAAGAATTAAATATAAATGTTTAAAATTTTGAAATTTTATTATTTTTAGACCTGGTTTTCTTACTACTGCAGGAAAATACAAAGGAATTATCAGAAATACCCACTTCTAAACCTTGTAATATAAAATATCTTCCACATTAATGATCAGATAACAGTTTCAAGGGTACAGTTGTCAATCGATATCGGTCATTGCCATCTTTGCTTGAAGGATCACTTGAAATTAATTTACAAATTACAAATTACAAATTACAAATTACAAATTACAAATTACAAATTACAAATTACAAATTACAAATTACAAATTACAAATTACAAATTACAAATCACAAATCACAAATCACAAATCACAAATCACAAATCACAAATCACAAATTACAAATTACAAATTACAAATTACAAATTACAAATTACAAATTACAAATTACAAATCACAAATTGCAATAATAAGCAAAAATAGATTAAGAGAAAAGTCACGGCACATAAAAGTGGGAAGGACAACTTGAAAGCCGTCTTAGATCTTAGAATTTATTTGTGACATTCAGTCGTAAACCAACTTTGACATGTATGATTTTTAAAATTCTCGAGCTAATAACCACTTAATACTCTTAGTCCGGGCATTTCCATACTCTGGTCGGCCTTTTTTGTGCTGTCTATATGACCGGAGACTAAGAATTTCGTTGAGACTTCACTTTTTTTAAATAAAACCATTAATATATTGTCGAAATCTGAAATGAACTCGTATCTCCGGTAATATTGAAAGTAAAAGAAGGCAGACCACATTTTGGAAATGCCAAAGCTAGGAAAATTTTGTGATTGTTAACTCTCTAGAAATTTACTTCTAAACTTGGGTTTACAATTAAATGCCGCAAATTATTTTAAAGATCAAAGACGACCTTCAATTCGTCTTGCTACTGACATGTTTCGTGGGACACCCTGGGAATTGGCAACAGTTATGTTTGTCCATGCTTATTTATTTTGCTTCTTGGCACAATTCTAATATGTGATTTATTTCTCTCCATTCGTGTTCTCCTTAACCCCGGTTTTTTTTCTATAATTTGAATTCAATCATTAGTTGGCATAGATCAATTAAAATAACATATGGGATGTCGTCTTTTTCAGATTCATGTGTGTTTCGTATTCAATAACCCTGAGGCAGAAGCTCAAAGGAGTTTAGCTCTGTCGGCGTTAAACCAGACAGAGAGAATGTGTTCTGTGCTGACTATGTGCAACTCCTTTGGGCTTCTGCCTCAGGGTCACACATAAATCTTAAAAAGACGACATATCTAGAGTCCTATCTGTTATTTTAATTTATCTATGGTTATTGATTGTTTTTATACTCAAGGAGTTGTCTGGGACAAGGACCGAACCGTTAAATCCGCGTGTGTTTATCATTCTCCTTATTGTCATTCTCCTCATTATCATCCTCCTCCTTGTCATTCTCCTCCTTGTCATTCTCCTCCTTGCCATTCTCCTCCTTGTCATTCTCCTCCTTGTCATTCTCCTCCTTGCCATTCTCCTCCTTGTCATTCTCATTATCATCCTCCTCCTTGTCATCCTCCTCCTTGTCATTCTTCTCATCATCATTCTCCTCCTTGCCATTCTCCTTCTTGCCATTCTCCTCCTTGTCATTCTCCTCCTTATCATTGTCCTCATTATCATCCTCCTCCTTGTCATTCTTCTCATTGTCATTCTTCTCATCATCATTCTCCTCCTTATCATTCTCCTCCTTATCATTCTCCTCCTTATCATTCTCCTCCTTATCATTCTCCTCATTATCATTCTTCTCCTTATCATTCTCTTCCTTGTCATTTTTCTCATTGTCATTCTTCTCCTTATCATTCTCCTCCTTATCATTCTCCTCCTTATCATTCTCCTCATTATCATTCTCCTCCTTGTCATTCTTCTCATTGTCATTCTTCTCATCATCATTCTCCTCCTTATCATTCTCCTCCTTATCATTCTCCTCATTATCATTCTTCTCCTTATCATTCTCCTCCTTGTCATTCTCCTCATTATCATTCTCCTCCTTGTCATTCTCCTCCTTGTCATTCTCCTCCTTATCATTCTCTTCTTTGTCATTTTCCTCATTATCATTCAACTTTTTCTCTTTATTCACATTTTCTTCTTTATTCACATTTTCCTCTTTATTAACATTTTCATTTTTATCCACATTTTTCTCTTTATTCACATTTTCCTCTTTAATCACATTTTCCTCTTTATTCACATTTTCCTCTTTATTCACATTTTCCTCGTCATTCACATTTTCCTCGTCATTCACATTTTCCTCGTCATTCACATTTTCCTCTTTATTTACATTTTCCTCTTTATTCACATTTTCCTCTTTATTCAGTTTTTCCTCTTTATTCACATTTTCATCTTTATTCACATTTTCCTCTTTTTTCACATCTTCCCCCTCATTCACATTTTCCTCTTTATTCACTTTTTCTTCTTTATTCATATTTTCATCTTTATGCACATTTTTCTCATTATTTACATTTTCCTCTTTTTTCACATCTTCCCCCTCATTCACATTTTCCTCGTCATTCACATTTTCCTCTTTATTCACATTTTCCTCTTTATTCACATTTTCCTCTTTTTTCACATCTTCCTCCTCATTCACATTTTCTTCTTTATTCACATTCTCCTCCTCATTCACACTTTCTTTCTCATTCACAATTTTATCTCTCTGCTGGGCACTCATATCTCCAATATCATCTCTCTCCTGTGCGTCCATATCTCCAATATTATCTCTCTCCTGTGCGTCCATATCTCCAATATTATCTCTCTCCTGTGCGTCCATATCTCCATTATTATCTCTCTCCTGGGCGTCCATATCTCCAATATTATCTCTCTCCTGGGAGTCCATTTCTCCATTATTATCTCTCTCCTGGGCGTCTATTTCTCCAATTGTAGCTATCTCCTGTGAGTCCATTTCTCCAATATTATCACCTTGTGATTCTGAAAACTTGACCCTCTCCATGTTAAATGATCTGTTAGTAGATGCGAAGTAAAGAGCAATGACACTCACTGAAGCGATCATCAAACCCGGGAAAAGAAATCTCAAAATCCTTAAAAAAAAAAAAATTAGAAAATTACTGAATATAATTGGACATTTAAACTGGAAAATATATTTGGACCCATAAATCGATAACTTGAAAAGACGACATTTAAGCAATTTAATGTATTTAATGTTGTAATAAAGCAAATACACTCTAAATACAGGGGACATTAGTTCCAAAACTGACACGTGGCCCATTTCTAACACTGAGTGTTAGAAATGGGCACAAATTTAAAGACTGGGTTTTAAGGATTGAGAGTAAAAGTCGATAATTAAAACTGTAACAAACATTTTATTAAGAATGACGAAGACAATAATTCCCAATTTTAAACTATTTTCTGGAATCAAAATTATAAAAGGAGTTCATTACAATGTTAGGTTTTCCATTTTCGAACATATCTTTTCAGCTTTTGAGTATAATCCTCAATTCAGAAAAAGTCTCACTTTCATAACATACAAAATAAATCACTGAAAGTAAAAATTATCTAATGATAACTAACTGCTAAATTATTTCTAAAATCTTAATTTCCCGCATTCTAAATAAACAATTTCCCGGATTTCTAGTTAAATTTATATTGTAAGAACAAAATAATATTGGCATTTGCCATTTTCTGTTGTGCGCAATGCCCCGTAAAATTCTAAAACAGAGAGAGGGGGATTGAATTTTGTAGATCCAGTCTTTTGGGTCTTCCCATGGGGCGAAGATGAAAACGCGCTGGGTACACTAGACGGACTGGTACGCACTGGGTACACTAGATGGACTGGTACGCACTGGGTACACTAGATGGACTGGTACGAGTAATTGTGGTAAATTCTTTACTGGTTCGGATCATGCCATAATTGGACCCTTGTGGTTTGCTTTGTTTTTTTTATATACACAGTGATGACCATAAAACAATGGAATAGGAAAACGAAATTAAGCAATACTTAAGTATATTTTATGTTGTTAAAAAGCAAATAGTTTTACTAGACACTTATCAGATCAATAATTTAGTGTAATTGATCTGTTTACACTAACCAGTTGTTGTTTTTATGTTCATAGGATTTTTGAAACTTATAACTTCTTTCTTTTTCACATTTTTCTGGTTATCACTTTAGGGTAAGATCATCAAGATTTACCTCAAAGAATTATAACCAGTGTTAAGGTTTGTTCGTAAAGGATAAGACTGAAAATACGACTGTAAACTCCTGCAATGTATTAAACAAATTACGCGTGTCTTTGATTATTTATTGATTGCCCCCAACCTCCTCCCAACTTACGTCACATAGATTCAGTTTGCAAATTACAGGTCCCAAGTCCTAAGACAGGATCGACTTTGAAGTGTCGCAAAGATTTTTCCGCTTTAACTCACTTATGCTTATTTATTAAACTATAAAGCAGTTGTTTTTAACTATAGCCTTTAAGAAATAATTGGCAAAATTCTCAACGATTTTTGCGTCTTTATCTAGTCAAAGGAAAGGTCACTTGAAAAGTTGCAATTACGCAGGCAGTCCCTTTAAAAAGCTTATTTTCTTACTTCATTTTACAATATTTTTCTTCTGCAGCAGTTGCTATACGTATAGTAGTGTTCTCTTGTTCTCGACTGTTATATAAAGATGCATTCAAACATAAACTTAATTCTGCACAGATGGTTAAACGGCTGTAGTTAACCTTCGACAGTGGAATTAAGAAAACGGATTTAAAATCTGAAATTATTCATTAAATTTTTGTTAAAAAGCTGCAAGATTATCTGTGCAAGGACTATAACTGTAATGTTCATACATTGCAGATTGTTCGAATCATGAAACGAAGCAAAATCTCCAAAACAGGTACAATCTATTTTGTGTCAGCAACCAAACTTCTAAGTGTATGGATAAGTGAATTGATTTAGATTGGGAACTAAATACATCAGAGCTGTGCAAAAAGGCATATTCTTGAATATCTTCGCTGTGCAAATTAAAATATGTTGGTATGTCTACTCCAGGATCTACTCCAAACCTTTACGCCGCCTACTGGAGTAGTTTGGTCTGACACTCCACTCTGATGGTCAACCAGACCTGCGCACTCGAAGGAGTGCAGAAAACCTGTTTTAGGGAAATACTTGGTGGAGAATATATAGGATATGAGTCTAACCTTGAAACACTAGAAGTTCGTCGAGAAAAACTCTGTCTATCGTTTGGAAAAAAATGTCTGTTAAACTCAAAGCACAGATCCCTGTTTCCTTGAAATATCCCTCTCCACAACCATAACCTTAGAGAACAGAATCTGTTCACAGTTGTTGAAGCCAGGACGGAGAGGCTAAGGAGATCATCTATATTACTGAATAGCAATTAGATAATAGTAATAGATAGATATGCTTTTACCAATATGAAAAATTTAAAATGTATAATCTTATTCCATGAATATTAATCCTCGGATTTTTATCATAATAAACTCTATTTATTTTATTTAAATGACGCACTTCCTGACCAGGAACAGCTAATTCCATTCAGTTTTTTTCAATTTGCTAAGGGAAGAGGAGCTACGCTGAATTTGAACAGTATTTTTTTTGAGTATTATTGCCAGAGGCGTATTCAGGGGGGGGGGCTTTTGGGGCTAAGCCCCCCCCCTCTGGACCAGTGAAATCTATTGATTTCCGGGGTTTTTCATGCCCCAACGGGTGCTGAGCCCCCCCCCTGGACAAATTCCCGAATACGTCCCTGATTATTACGTGTTCATGATGGATTCTGGAAGATTGTTTCTGCTCAATCGCACCTTACCGTTTTAGTTTTGGCGAGTGCAGACTTTCTTTGCCGTTTTTTTTCTTTTTCAAAATCTTTCAAAATCTTCCAAAATCCACAATGAAACCGTGAGCTGCCGCCATAGTATTTTTAGCTAGCTAATTGTTACTGTAGAGCTCGTAGATTGAGAGAATTCATATTGTCCTCTAAAACTCAAAAAATGTTGCAAAAAATCTAGAAGATTTAAACTTTAGAGTATGGTTTCCAGCGAAAAAAGGAAAATCGTTTAACAAATATTTCGCATTTTTCACGAACATTTTTTTTGCGAAATTTCGCTTCAATCTATTTCGCGAAAAAATGCGAAAATCTCGCAAAAAATGCGAAAATTTGGAATTTGTTAAAAAATTAATGCAAAATTTTTGCGAATATTGATCAAAAAAGACAAAATACAGCTTCAACACCTATGGTTTTCCCTAAAATTTTCGCGAAATGCGAAATTTTACGAAAATTTTTCGCGAAACGTTTGGTTCGCTGGAAACTGTACTGTATAGATTGTAGAGGAAGGAGAGTTAATGCATGAAAAAGGTCTGAAGCGTCTTCAGCATAAAGCATGTCATTTTCATTTAATTTTCTGACTTTAAAAAGAATGTTCCCCAAAACTTACAGAGACTCGATGTTATTTAAATCCATTTAAAGAGGTACATGACCGATTCACAACGGTACACTTGAAACCTTTATCTGAATCACAACGTGAAAGGTATTGTCGTTTTTTTAGGCTTAGAAAAAGTGTTTGTTTCTGATAATTCCTAAATGTAGAAATGCGCAACTTACTTTTGTACTTTTTTAATTTGAAAACATTCATTTTTCGAAATTATAAACATTGAACCCTTTTTAAGGGTACCATAGTTAACAATCCTTTAAATAAAAATCCTTATTCATTTATTATCTAAGTAACGTAATCACGTGACTCACAATTATCCTGTGCGCAACTCTCTTATCTTTTTTATGTGATTAATGTTTGTCAGTTTCAAAATAATATTTTAACATTATTAAAGGTAGCTGCAGTATCTTTGTGAACATTATATGCACAGATACTAAGTTCGACTATTCTAGCACTCAGTGAAAATTTGCTTTCACACTCTGTTAGAATTTGGTAACATACTGAGAATTTGCTATCACATTGGGAGAATTTGCTAAAACACAGTGAGAATTTGTTAACACACAGTGAGAATTTGCTAACACACAGTAAATACCCATAAAAAATAACACTTTATACTTATGGATTATCTAAAACTCGTCAAATTTAACGATCTTAAGGTTGAATTAGGTCATCTGAATAGAATATAGAGTTGTAATGATTTAGGAGATGATTTTGCAAAGAAAAACACGAATTATAACAGCCAAGAATTTTATGAATATTGTCTCTGAAGTCTTGTATATAGTCTTGGGCATTGGTATTCTCCGGGGTTTTTTTTATTTATTTAGGGGTTTAAAGCTTTTAGGAGAACCCACCAAAATTCTGGAAAATTTTGCTTATTTTTGTCTTGTATTTTTTTGCTTTTATTACACTATGCAAAACCTTAACTTGGGCAGAAAAAAAATCTATTCTTGTTAAATTTTGAATTAAATCAGTCGTCAGAATTTGTAGATTTTCTAAAAGCAAAAACATCATTGCATTACAAAACAACGAAACACAACAGCCAACTTTAATCCTTCGGGGGTTAATAAATGTATTTAATGTCTTGAGCAGTTTTTTTTCCAATTTAAGAATTTAAAAAAAAATCCCAACTATTTATAAAAACTAACAATTTTGTTAAAATCTAAAACCGTACTGTTTTCTAGATATAATATGAGTTACTATCTGGAGGAAATGAAACCACTAGCTTTAGCTAAGGGACCAAACCCTAATCTAAGAAAGGGGCCTAACTCTAAAATGAGGAAGGGTCCTAATCCTATTTTACAAAAGGGACCCAACGACGATCTTTTGATGTAAGTTCAATCCTAAGTATCTAAGTCATAGCCTTCCCCCCCTCCACCTGAATTTTGAGATCAAGTAATTCATATCAATCATTTTTTATTATAGAGGGTGTTTTCAGGCAAAAAATCCATGCAAGTTGACGGCCAAACCTTTTATCCAAAATTAAAAAATATTTGTTTTTTTTGTCAATACGTTCATCTGAAATAAGATGGAATGAATCTAGTACAATTCTAGATTCAAGTTTCGTTTACCAATTTTTCTAAATTTTTCTGTTTACACTTTCCATTGAAAAAAATTCAAATTGCCAATTTATGTTTTTCAATCAACATAGACCTATCTTTAACCTTTCCTACAGGATCATGTCAGTTTCCACAAAAAAATTTAGCCCCAATGTTTTAGATGTCGTTATTGGATACAAACAAACAAACAAATGAGTCAAATATCCAGGGTTACCCACAAATGATAAGATTGTAAAGACGACCTAAAACTCTTAAAAAAATGACTATCTTGAAAACATAGTCTTCTGCCTTGAATATAATCTATCAAAAGTTTATGAAATAGTTTCACAAAGAAATGAAAAAAGTTCAAATTTGCAAAGAATCATGAATATTAGGAAAAAGTTTTAATCCCGCACGTCGCCTCATAAGTCTCATCCTTGGTTGGTAACCCTGGATTTACCAACATCTATATATATAATTTGCTTGTCTTTCTGTCGGTTTGTTTGTCTGTCCGTTTGTATCCATTAAACCTCAAAAAGGCTGAACCGATAAAGCCAAAATTGTGTGTGGGACCTTACATGACCCCAGAGAAGATTTATGGAACATCAAAATTGGAAGAAAAATTCATGGAAAATTGTTGGAATTTTTTTGAATTTGAAAAGAAAAATCCGCCCAAATTTGAAAATGATTTAAGATGGCAAACTTTCAGAGCAACCGTTTATTTGTTAAACTAATTTAAAGGAAAGGAAGCGCAAAGCGCCTTAAAAGCCAAGTATTTAAAAGCATAGTATATACAGTGAAACCCTTTATAACGAATACATCGAAAGAATTCGTCACATGTCGTATTCTTCACTTTCTGATAATGGAATGTTGCAGATATTTAGTTTTTTAATTAAATGATTATATGGAACTCTTTAAAACTGTTCCCGCATATTCATGGCTATTTATTTATTTTAGCAAATACTGAAATTTACGTAATATTGTATAAAACTCATTGAAAAATTGTCAAGACGACATTTGATAAATTCTTCCGATGTATTCGTTAATAAGGGTTTCACTGTATTTAAATAGATTGTGTTTGTTAGATTTGAGTATTTACCCTGGGAGGGTCCGGACCCGGATCTTCAGAAAGGACCAAGGAAGGAGAATATTGTCGGACCTAATCCTGCAAATAGGAAAGGACCTAAGGTTAGTTCACTCCCCCATCTAGGAAAGTCAGAGATGGGGGATGCTCTACTAAAGTCGTACCGTCCCAGCATTATCGTACTGGGATTAGTTCAGACACATCGTTGACTTTATTTCAATTTTTCATTAAAAAGAAGCATTAACGCTTATTAGAAAATAGTTTCAAACGCTTATTTAAAAAAAGGTTTTGTTTAAAAATAAAACCAAAAATGATCTCAGAATAATTTCTAAAAAAATGCATTATGATCGTAAGAAATCGGAAAATAACTCATCTTTATCTGAAAAAGAAACTTTGATAATCTATAATTCACCATTTCCAAATTTTCCGAAAAAAACGATCATTTTCAATTTTTCATATCCTTTTGTCTCCATTATAAGAATTATGAGGGCCCGGCGTTTAAATATTTTTAGAAAGAAAAATTTTTGAAAAAAAAATTCCATTTTTTTTAGCCTATAAAACTCCCCGGCCACCCCTGAGTGTCCACAAAAAAATTCAGTCCAATTGGTCCAGCCGTTTGGCCGGCTATACGCAACATATATATATACGAATATCTTGTTTT